AACTTAAAGACTTAAGTAAGCAGGTAGATGCAGTGAGTGACATTTCTAAGCTTGGGTTTCTCAAGGATACTGGCGTATAGCTACAGAGGATGACTGGGACAGGTACAGGGAGTCAGATACGGATGTGTAGCTTCAGAAAATAAGGCAAGAACTAAAGGGCATCCATGGAGACATTCTCTGAAGAGCTTGTCTCTCGACTCTTCAAAATAGTTTCTATTTCTTCACATTTTCTTCACCCCTCTGCAAATCTATTGACTTGAGAAAGTGAAATAATATTGGCGAGAATCTTGACACAGCACAGAACTCATGTGCTGATAGTGTTTAAAAGCAGCAAAGGGTTTGATTTTCCCCAGGCCCCAGCTCCCTGGTCTTTTGCCCCATCACAGCTCACTCAGGCCTGTTCTACAGTTTCCCTGTGCTCATCTCTGAGTGCTGCTACTGCTGCTATGCCCCTCTCCCCCCAAGTCGGAGGCCAAACATTCATCCCTCTTTGTTATGAACAACGATATTATTATCTTAATGCATGTGTGAGTGTGTTTGTGGGGGAAATGGTGCAGGCACAGGTGTGTGCAGCTGGAGGACAGAGAGCATCCTCAAGTGTCATCTTTAGAGCACTGTTCACGTCCTTGACCTTGAGATAGGGTCTCCCACTGAGCTAGACTCACCGGGCAGACCAGGCTAGCTGGCCACTGAGCCCCAGGGGGCCTTCTGGCTCTGCTAGTACAGTGCTGAGATCACAAGCAAATGCCACCATGGCCAGCACAGGCCTAAAATATGGTTCTAGGAATCAAACCCTGGTCCTCACATTTGCAGGACCCTTCAACAAGGCAGTGGCTTTGTTCTGGAAACTTCATCTTACACTCACTTTCAAAGAAGTCATTGAAAACCGGGCATAGTCGTGCTTTAATTCAGCACTCAGGAGGAAGGGCTAGGCAGATGGATCTCTGTGAGTTCAAGGCTAGTCTGGTCTACACAGTGAGTTCCAAGACAGCTAGGGCTACATAGTGAGATCCTCTCTCAAATTAAGAAGAAAAGAAAACAAAAACAGTAATGGAAATGAAGCAAAACCATAAGTACATGGGAAGATGCATTAATGCCCACTGTGTTAATGCTTATTATGATCCCAAGGCACAGGTACAACTTAGTCATCATTTACAGAGTACCTGGTGCTTTCCAGAACTCTGAAATTCTCTAGGAAGGACATATAAAATGCCATCTCAATCCTAATGACATGCTACTATACCCACAGACCATCCCTCGCTCATTCCACATCACCTCAGTAAAACATGAAATCAGCTGGGGCTCATGTGGCTATCTCAGTGTGCCTAACAAGCCAGGACAGAGTGGAGAAGACAAAGCCTGTACGTCTGAAGGATAGCTCAGAGTTTAGTAGGCAAGACAGCTGTGGGACAGCTCCACGCAGGGCAGCACAGAAGCAAGAGGGTCAGAGGAGGATGCAGAGAGCACCGGGGAGCAAGACAAACCAGGAACATGAAGGAAAGGTTCAATAGCGTTTAGTGTGTGGGTAAGTGTTCCGGAACACCTGAGTGAGTTCTGAGGTTGATTTGGGAAGATTTAGAGAGTTCTGGATGCTTATACCAGAAAAGGTATCTGATTTTTTAAAAACTAGAAAATGAGAGATAAAGGTTTTTTTTTTTAAAGAAACTATTAATAATATAAATCTAGTGCTTTGAAACAGCGACTGCAGACAGAGCTGTGCCAGCAGGAGGCTCCTTGTCAAGATTACTACAACAGTGTAAACAAGAAATAATGAGAAGCCTATCTGCAGATTAGTAACAGTGGGAAGAGGAAATGAAAGGGGGTCAAGGAGCTTGTCAGTGCTGTAGAGAATGGCCAGGGGAGCTTTGGAACCCTGAGAAAAAGAACAGACACTCCTGTCAAAACAGAAGTAAGAGAGCCATTTTCACGTTTGAAAAAAGGAGACCGGTTGTTGTGTGAACATAAAGACTTAAAGTAGAGATGTCTAAAAGCAATTAGCATGTCCAGCCTAAAGCACCAAGGAAGCTGGGAAGGAGGAAGGAGTGTGAGAGGAAGGAGGGGGAGAAGAAGGAGGGAGGGATGAAGGAGGAAGGAAGGAAGAAAAGTAGGTGGAAGGAAGGGCCACAGTGATGAACACGGAGGTGATAAAGGCTAGAAAAGCTCACAGCTACAGAAAAATTTTATAAAAGGTTAGGTATTTGGAAGGTTTGGTTTGTTTGATTTTGCAAGGAGACTACTAATAACCTTAAAGATGTTTAAGTAGAAAGGTAAATGTTAGGAATAGTCCTAAAAATGAGCCTCTCCGCCGACACAAATAATCCCAATCAGACCAAATTAAAAGATATCCAAGTTTAATTTGACGTCTGCGCTCTCAGGTGGCCCGAGGAGGGAGGGTACAGAAAGACGACAAGACCACCGAAGAGGAAGAGGGAAGACCACGTGTTTATTTTCTGGGGAGCAGTTTAAATAGCCTGTGGAAGTGGTCTTGACCTTTCCTGGGGAGGGGTCAAGATTTGATGGGCTCAGGGGGAGGGAGCTTCCAAAGATGGAGGCCAGAGGCAGGGATTACAGTAAAGATGGAACCCAGTGAATTACAAAATGAAGAGTGGGTAGTGAGAAAGTGGAATAGGCCAGGAATGGTATAAAATTAAACAAACCAGCACTCGGAAGGCATAGGCAAGCAGATCTCTTGAGTTTAAACCAGCCTGGTCTACATACTGAGTTCCAGGACAGCCAGGGCTATGTAGAGAGACCCTGTCACAAGCAACAACAACAACAAAAAAGCATGTGGAAGAGAGAGAATACGCTATACTTTGGAAAGTTGAATAAGCTACCATTATTCAATATTAAATCACTGAAGTCAAGAAGAGCTGGTGAATGCTATGGGAACACAAAGAAGACTGGCATAGCTAAACAGAAGCACACCAACAAGGGATGGTGGCACAAAATAGATTATACTTTTAATACACAGAATACAGAATTTTTTTTTAGAATGCAGAGTTTGTACATGATCAAAATGTAAATTTGTAAAGTAGGGTTAGAGAGATGGTTCAGCAGGCAAAGACAATTGCCTCCAAGCATGCCCACTTCAGCTCAGTTCCCAGAGCTCATTGCGGTTAAGAAAGAGAACTGAGCCCTTCAGATTCTCCTAACCTGCACACTCTCTCTCACACACACACACACACACACACACACACTAATACACACACTCAAGCGCATTCATGTACACACACACTAAATGTAGTAAACAATTTTAAATATGTAAAACAAAAAGTACTATAAAAAATAAAAACTGTGTAACAATGATCTTTACAAATCTCTCGGGATCCAATTAATAATAAGCAGAGTGACCTGAATCCAGAACACCAAACTGCTGATCCTCAGCGATGGTCAGGGAAACAAAGATCACACAATCACGTGTCCTTGCACCACCATAGATCAGATTTAAGTCTGGTGACTCTGAGCCTGAGTCTCCACACCCTGTCACTCAGAGGTCCAGTCAGTTTGTAAATATGAGTTGCTCTGTTCCCAGAGCAGCCCAAAGTGTGATCAATCAGGATGGAGTCAGAAGATACAGCGAGACTACAGAGGCAAAGCCAGCCAGCTGTGGAGCAGAACTTTTAAGTAAGACACAGCAGGAGGAACTTGGGGGACAGCGAACTCTTCTACTCACTGTCTGGAGTGATGGATATATGATTTTTTAAATTGGACTAAGGTCATAAACTTAAAGATAAAATATAATTTTGAAAAGTTGAGTTGGTTGTCAGTTGGAGACGTCCCTTTTCTCAAACAGCCTTCATGTGCTAGTTACTCTGCCCCTCAGCACCAGCGCTCAGAGCCCCAGGTCAGGCAGCCTCTAAGCACTGGTCCTCAGGGGCTGCAGCCCTGCTGTCTGTGGAGGACACTGTGAGACCCAGAGCCACTGGGACTGTGTTCAGGCACACACATCCAGAGGGACAGTGAGAGTTGTTCCCCAACAGTGACTACATGGCTCCCTGATCACAGCAGCTGAAAGGGACTCTGGCAGCTTTTGAGCACCCTTAACAAAAGTGTTTCCGTGTCCTAACCATCAGTGTTGCCTTGTTAGCATGGGCTGGCTCTATCAGCCTTGGATGTCTCATAAGCACCTGTGCAGCAGGGGTCATTGAAAGAACTTTTATGTAGCCACCAACTCTCCATGAGCAAAAATAAAAAAAAAAATAAAAAAAAAAAACAGGGGAAAAAGGTGCATAAATTATACAGCATTTACAATTACAATATAATCATACAATTATACAATTGATACAACAGAATACTCAACAGTAAGAAAAATAAACTGCAGATAAAGGCACTGGAGATAGCTTCAAGGATGACTCAGCAACTAAGGCCACTCTTCCAGAGGACATGGGATCAATTCCTAGAATCTAAATGGCAGCTCACAACTCTCTGTAATTCCAATTCTACGAACTTTGATAAGCTCTCTGGCTTCCATGTGTTACATACACAAATGCAGTCAAAACACCCATATACATGAAATAAATAAATAGAGGCACCGTGAACGATCAACACACAGAACTAAGGTGGAAACACATGAAGGGTATACATTGGGAGTCTCTTCACACAAGCTTACTAATAAACAAAACTGAACTAGTAGAAAGGACAGAAAACTGTGTGGTAAAATCACAAAAGTGCAAGGAAATTATCAGGCTGTAAAAGAGAAGAGTGGGGAAGAGGAAAGCTCCAGAGCAACTGAAACATCTTTACTAAGTGGTTATCTGTAACTCGGCTTTATACAATTGATGTGCTTTTCTCTATTCGATATATTGTAATAAAAGATAAGAAAATAACTACTTAAAAGAACTCTTGGTGCCAGCTTGGAGCGATGGGTTTGTAGATGACCTATGACAGTACAAATGTCACAGGAGGAGTCAGGCAGGGCTGTGATTGGACAACCAGCCAGCAGGAATGCTATTTATTCAGTTCTCAGCACAGGACACAGAGCATTCTGGGTAGAGGTGAAAGACCAGTCACAAAGACACTTCCAAAGCAAGCTTCCCGAGGAAAATGGGCACCAAGGGAAAAGTAAGTAAACAACCTGTATCTACATTTAGCTTCTGCTTCTGTTGGGTCTCTGCACATTTGCTGAAGATGCTGCCCCCCAGGTTACAATCAAGGCACAGCAAATTAAAGCCAACTAAAGGGAGAGGAACAGTCCACAAGCTAGAAATTGGTTCTAAGAAAAAGCAACTCTGGATTTGCTGAAGTCTTCTTGGGTACTCACACATTATTTAAATGAGGATGAGGGGAAAATTAAGTTACCTCTGCTCTAAGCATCAATGCAGCGTGTGTATTTATAGCATGGGAATGAATGGGACAAGGTAGATTACTAAATGCTGTGTGTATGACCCCATGTGAGGACACCCGAGGGCTTTACAACATAAGGAGAAAGAAAGTAATAAAAGTATAGGTGGATTTTTTTTATTACTTATATTTTGAAATTTCTTGTAATGAATGTATATTGCACTTGTAATAGAAGAAATAACAATTTAAATCATAATTAAATATTGCAAAGAACAATTGAGAAGGTTTCAAATGGTTAAAAAAATTATTCCAACAGTACAGGCAATAATAAGGACAAAAGATTATAGACTTTCTTTCAATTTCCTTCCAATTTTACTTATATTTGAAATTTAAAATGTAATTTGAGACTAATTAATGTAAGAATTAATTGTAAAACTTCCTGTGTTTTGCTTCTTTTCATGTACTTTAACTCAATTCTTAGAAAGAACAATTTTTTTTTTTACTGAGCTATACAGTTTTCTCCACTCCCCTTCCTCCCTTCCTCCCCCTCCCCTTCTACCCTCTCCCATGACCTCCACACTCCCAATTTCCTCAGGAGATCATATCTTTTTCTCCTTCCCATGCAGATCCATGTATGCCTCTCTTAGGGTCCTCTTTGTTGTCTAGGTTCTCTGGGATTGTGAATTGTCAGTTGGTTTTTCTTTGCTTTATGTCTAGAAACCATTTATGAGTGAGTACCTGTTATATTTGTCTTTCTGGATCTGGGTTACCTCACTCAATATGTTTTCTAGATCCATTCATTTGCCTGCAAATTTCTAGATGTCATTATTTTTACTGCTGTGTAGTACTCCATTGTGTAAACGTACCTCATTTTCTTTATCCATTCTTTGGTTGAGGGGCATCTAGGTTGTTTCCAGGTTTTTGCTATTACAAATAGTGCTGCTATGAACATAGTTGAACATATGTCCTTGTGGTACAATTGAGCATCCTTTGGGTATATATCCAACAGCAATATTGCTGGGGGTTGAGGTAGGTTGTTTCCTAATTTTCTGCGAAATTGCTATACTGATATCCAAAGGAGCTGTACCAGTTTGCACTCCCTTTACCCCACATCCTCTCCAGCATAAGTTGTCATTAATTAGTGTTTTTGATCTTGCCCATTCTTACAGGTGTAAGATGGAATCTCAGAGGTGCTTTGATTTGCATTTCTCTGATGGCTAAGGATGTTGAGCATTTCCTTAAGTGTCTTTCAGACATTTGAGATTTGTCTGTTGAGAGTTCTCTGTTTAGGTCTGTAATCCATTTTTTATGGATTACTTGTTCTTTTGATATCAAATTTCTTGAGTTTCTTTGTATATTTTGGAGCCTGGTCTACAAGAGCTAGTTCTAGGACAGGCACCAAAACCTACAAAGAAACCCTATCTCAAAAATCAAAAAGGACTCCTTTGCCAGTGTGTTCAAGTGTACTTCCCACTTTCTGGAAGAGAACAATTTTTATTTAACTTACATTCTACTGATAAATTGACTGTGTAAGCCACTTCCCAGATTTTTTTTCCTTACAATCTGGAGACCTTAATCAATCACAAGTTAGTGCATTTAGGGTGGCATTTTCTTCTCTAAAAGTTCTAGAATGACAGGAATACCTGTTGGTTCAATGACCACACTCTAACAGCAAATCACACCTATTCTAATGACGGGCTCAGGTATTTTAGAGCTGGTTACAAATGCGCACTGAGCATCTACCAAAACTTTAAGCCTTATAATTATATATCTTCTTTGCTATAGAGATAAATATGTAGGCATAGTATTAGGGTAAATCTTCATATATCTGTTTCTTCAAAAGATAAAAACTACAATGGCTATAGCATATACATTAACTTATGCTAAGAAATCATCCCCTGAAGATAATATAAGTATTATCTTCATTACATGCATCTAGTCACAAACCCCTTCTTCATATAATCATGGCACTGGCCTGTTTGGACAAAATCCCCTTATTCTATCTTTCCCTCCCTCCCCTCACCACAATTGTCCCTCTCACCTATCTTCTCTCTCCCTCCTCTCTCTTGCAGGTTATTACATGCAAGGCAGCCATTGCCTGGGAAACAGGCAGTCCCCTTTGCATTGAAGAAGTTGAAGTATCTCCCCCTGGGGCTCATGAAGTTCGAATTCAGGTAAGCAGGGACTTTAGCAGGGCAACACATACATGTCTCTGAACTAAACACTGACTTTCTCCTATGGCCAGCTATATTTTTAGATCCAAATTTAAAACGAAGCATTATCATGTGTCTTAGAGTTTCTATTGCTGTGAAGAGACACCGTAACCATAGCAACTCTTAAAAAGGAAAACATTTAATTGTGATGGCTCACTTACAGTTCAGAGGTTCCATCTATTATCATCATGGCAGGAAACAAGTCAGCATGCAAGCAGACACAGTGCTAGAGAAGAAGCTGCGAGTTCTTACATCTTAACTCACAGGCAACAGGAAGTGGTCTGAAACACTGGGTGTGGCTTGAGCATATATGAGACCTCAAACCCTGCCTCTGCAGTGACACACTTCCTCCAACAAAGTCACACCTGTTCCAACAAAGACACCCTTCCTAATAGTGTCACTCCCTTTGGGGATCATTGTCTTTCAAACTACCACAGAATGCTTTTGTACAGTGGGCTTGAAATTTAATTCAACTATTTTAATATTGACAATAACCCTAAGAATCAGCAAAGTAACTTAACTTTGGATTAGAATTAGGTTTTCTTTTTGTTTTCCAAATGCTAATTATAGGAAAGTGATATTTTAAAAAGGGAGAGAGGGAAGTAGGCCCAAAGCAAAGGAGGCTGAGAACTTGGAGAGCCACCCTGGACCACAGAGGTCGTGGTGCCAAGAGGAGGGATTAGGGCTGGGTCAGTAGGGAGGAGTAGAGCAAGTCCGAAGTTATCCATTTTCCCTCTGGACCAACCTATCACAGGCTTGTGTGTGAGGATGCATGAAGAAGCCTCATGCACAAATCTGAAGAATCACCCAGGGACAAGTTGGAGAGAGATTTGGACATAGTTTCTCTTTACTACAGGAGATTTATTACCTCCACTTCATTTCAGGCAGTCTCCACACAGCAGAACAAGTGGTGTAGACCTATGTTCTCCCCACTGCCTGGTGTGCTTTCTCTCATCCCTCTTCCCTGAGATTTTTCCTCTCCTAGAGACAGTATCACCAATGTTGTTTCTTTTTTCCAGCAACAAGAAAATTAGAAAACTAAACTTGATTCCAAGAAGAAAAGAATATAAACCTAGTAATTGTATAAGTCCCCTTTTTTCAAAATATAACTCTTTTACTGAATACTAGTACTGCTATAATGCTCCAAGACACCATGGGGCCTAGGAACACAGCTACAGAATGACAACTCTAGTCGGTCTTGCTTTGTAGGTAATCGCCATGTGTGTGTGTCCTACTGACATCAATGCTACCAATCCTAAGAAGAAAGCTCTCTTCCCGGTCGTCCTTGGCCATGAGTGTGCAGGAATTGTAGAAAGCGTTGGGCCAGGAGTCACCAACTTCAAGCCAGGTATTTCACCTTCTGATTTCAGTGGACTAGAAGTTCTCAGCCTTCCCTGGGAAGACTCACAACTAACAGCCTGTGTTTTTGTGCCATCTGGACTCCGCTTACAGAGTTCACCTTTCACAAAGGAACACCTACACAAATAATCTGTCATGGCATAACAAAAAAGCAGAATATCTGAAACCAGAACAGCCTAATAAAATCCTGGAAATGCAGCCACTTTATTCACATAAACAGAAAAACTGTCCTATAAAGCAAAGTTACAGGGATAGTGTAAACTGAAGCTTCCGCGGTTCACAAATACTTCCTGCATGTGAAATGGGAATTTACTTTGTGGTTATGCCAAGAGGGAAAGCTTGTAGAAGGCTTAAGGGGAAAGCATCACACACATGTCAATGTTAGCTTAAGTGTCACTTTGGAGGTTCATAAGATAAAACATAAAAAAAGCAAGCCAGTGGCTCATCGTATTTTACAACAGTGTACACTTGTCATTTCCCATGTGAGAGTTGATGAGCCATATCACCCCTCCATCCAAACTTGGAAACATATTAGTATTTTCCATTCCAAGCATGAGCACAAAAACAGATTGCTCCCTCAAACCTGCATCCTTGAAGGTGTGACCAGTGTCCACCTTTAGTCCTCACTGTCATTTACTGGCTGTGTGATTAGACTTGCAGTTTTTCTAAATGATAGCTGTGAGAAGTAAAATAACAACATTAGTGATATTTGGCTGCCACACACTAACTGCTGATCACATGTTAATTGCCATCATGTTGGTCATCATGGAACCAAATAGGAACTGGATGAGGAGCTAGAAGATATGGGATTTAAAAGTAAATCAGAAGGATGCAACATGGGCCGTGATATAAAGTCTATGCTCTACTTCTAGCCTACCATGTCCTCCCTCCTTTGCCCTACAAGGATGCTCTCTACTCCACACAGGGTGTTTGGAAAGGCAGCAAACAAAAGTCATACCCAGAGACGTCAGGGAACAGGTGCCCAGCCAGAACTCTGCACCTGTTAGCACCAGTACAGGTTGTTACTTGGCTGCTGAGCAGATTAAGAAAGAAAAAAAAGTGCAGTACTTGAAAGAACCCACAAGTTCTATTTTACTGAAATAGTATATTCTTGTTGAATATAAAATGTATACTATGAAAAAAAAAGTGGTGTTTGCCACTGATTTATCTGAGAGCAAGTTTTCTTAGGGCTGGGGATCAAGCCTGAGACCTTGCATAAATAGGCAAGTTCTCTGCCACCAATCACATCCTAGCTGCACTTCAGAAACTACAGCTGCACCTTAGGTACCTTCTAACTATGGCCTTTCTTTCTAGGTGACAAAGTAATCCCATTCTTTGCACCACAGTGTAAAAAGTGCAAGTTCTGTTTGAGCCCTCTTACAAACCTCTGCAGGAAACTCCGGTAAGTCCCCTTCACTGTTAATAGGAGTGTAAGTAGGCATAAATGTCTCAGACACACTGGCCAAACATACATGGAGGTAGAAAGATGAGTAAGAACCTTACACTTACTAATTCTTCTTCTATGTGACTAGAAGACATTGTTCCAGACACACAGGAAGAGAAACACACTAAAATGTTCAGTCACATGGCTTATAAGAACAATAAAAACCATAGAATGACCTTCAGTGAAAGAACAGATTTATCTACTGCTAGACAGTGGCACAATGAAATACCATATAATGAAAACAGATAGACTTAAAATACACACACTAGCCTAATTTTGCACACATGTTAAGGGAAAGAAGCAAGATGCTAAAGGACATACTTTCTGTATCACAGAAAGACAGTACCAGAATTTATGGTTACATGTGTATGTAACAAAAGTATAAACACATCACTGGAACAACAAATTCCAAGTTCAAATTAGATCTACTTCTAGGGGAGTGAGCGTGAATATGTAGGAGCACATCAGCTTACTCCAGGCCCATACAGCTTCAGGTACTGAACCCGGGTTTTTCCACAGACACTGTGACTCAACAGTTGTGAATCTTACTCACCTCGGACTGATTTTATTGATACCACAGAAAGATTTATTTGTCTTGAATGCTGATTGAAGCATGTTATTTAGGAAGTTAAAGCCTGGGCTGGAGGGATAGCTCAGCAGTTAAAAGTGGTCACTAGTATTGCAGAGGACTCAGTTACCAGCATCTGCATAGTGGCTCACAGCCACCTATAACTGCAGTTCCAGAAGATGCAGTGCCCTCTCCTGGCCTCTGAGGCACCTGCACACATGTGCTACACATACACTCATGCACACATACACACACAATAAGCAAATATTTTACAAAAATAAAATCATATGACTCATACCCATGCCTCTGTTTCTCTACATACAAGAAGATACTAACATCCGTTTTCAAGGTTGAATGAAAACTATACTTTTTTGCAAACTCTTAATAAAATGATGGATTTAGACCATGGCCAAGAATTCTACTGGTATAAGAAGAGAAACAACAATATGCAATGACCTCTCCAGATGGATCATATTGTAAGCTTTGAAGTATTCCCCCAAAAACTGTGAATTCTGAATCAGACATTTCTATAAAAACTTCTAACTTAAAAGGCAATGCTGAGACAGAGAGACATGTTAAGCCAGCTTGCAGTAGAATGACCAGCAACACTCAAAAGGGGGGGAAATCTATGGGACTGGCGACTCCAGTTTTTCACAAGGAAATTACAATATGGGGGTAATTAAAAAGACATCTTAATAAAATACAGTTCGCCAATGTGCTGGGATGTCTCGATACAGATGAAACCGTGTGATGTGGGAGACGAGGTGCGCACTGTGGAGGGAGTGGCAGGTGAAACGTGACGGACTGGTCAGGACTTGACAGTTAGCTAAGCTGGAGGTCACTGGAATGCATGGAGGGGCATTTTACTAGTCTAGTTTTAGTTTTACTTGAACTTTCTGTCAGAAAAAAAATATGGCTTGGCAATAGAGCCCTTAAAAGAGCTCCTGACACACAGAAAACATTCAACAGAAGTTTGTTGGCATTCACACTAAAATAGTTCAAAAATAGTATGTATGAATATGAAAAACACCATATTATTTTCCCAACTTTTCCACTGAATCCCATAAAACATTCATGACAAACATATGATATACAATATATCTTCTTCACCGAGTCCTTTTCTTTTTCTAGGAACTTTAAGTGCCCCAATATTGATCAAGAGCTCATGGAAGACAGAACTAGCAGATTCACCTGCAAAGGGAAGCCAATTTACCATTTCATGGGAGTCAGTTCATTCTCTCAGTACACTGTGGTTTCAGAAGCCAATCTTGCTAGAGTCGATGACGAGGCAAACCTGGAGAGAGTTTGTCTGATTGGATGTGGGTTCTCATCCGGCTACGGGGCTGCCATCAACACTGCCAAGGTACAGCATTAAATGCCATGTAGTCTGCAAACAGAGGTTACTGGGAGACAATGTCGTATGTAGGAGATGGAATTGTTCTCACAATCTGGCCACATTGCTTATTGCCACTATAAATTAGCTGTATCATTTACTGCCCCTGTGACTTTCTTTTTCCACATACTGGGGCTTGAACCCAAGGCCCTGAACCTGCTAGGAAAATGCCGTACCAATGAGCTACATCTCCATCCAGTTCAGCCTCTGTGATTTTATGCGGGCTATTATATGTCTCTAAATAATCATATCAACAGTTGTGAGCATATTGTTATATTGCATATTAAGCTTCATATAGATGTGCCCTTGATTTAAATACAGCTCACTTAAACATGACCTCTAAGTATGATGCTCACCCATGGACAACAACTGCAGAAACCCCACCTATCTCCATTTAGTCACCCAGCTTTCCCCTGGTTCTGTAAATTATTCTCCCTCAATTAATAAGAATTTACCCACCCCCCATCCCTTCGCGGTTTCAAGAGAGTCTGTTCTTGCAAGATGTGTTCCTGGGATCCTATTAGAATTTGGACACTCTTGCAAGGCTGACTAGGATACAAACAAAGAGAAAGATAGTTTTTTTAAAAAAAAAGTTTTCTTAGGTGGATACCTCAGACATCCCTGAAGCACTGAGGCAAAGAAGCCCCCCTCTCCTTGCTGACTCCACTAGATACTTTAGATACAAGTGAGTCTATACTATCCATGGAGTCGGTTTTTTCATTGGGCCACCAGCTCAATGATACCCTATTTCAAAACCAAACTAAGAAAGAGAGAGGTGGGTTGTAAATGACTGTGTATGGTACAAGAAAAGCAAAACGGTACCGATTTCTGACTGAAGAATCAAGAACAGTTTCATGGAGAGAATGCTGTTTAAACCAGGCCTAGATGGATAGGTTTTATTTTAATTTAAGGAAACGGAATGGAAAGTACCCTGGCTGGACTCAGGAGGAAGATACTAAGTCACAAGGAGAGAAGAGTGCCACCATATATGGCTGTAGTGAGAAATCGTAGAAATGAAACTAAAAATTTACCAAGTATGGTATCTCATGCCTGAACTATACAGCACTGCAGAGGCCTACGCAAGATTGTCTCAATGAACGTTCAAGGCCACTGTAGCCTAAGAGTGTCTCCAACAAGCAAATGATTATCATTCAGTTCCATGCAAAGACAGTCAGACTTCATCCCACCTAAAAGAAGTGACAAGTTGCAATAATCAAGTGTATCCACTAACACTTGTAGAAATACTAATGGTTATTCAAAAACAACTGTGCAGCAAAATAAGGTCCATTAGAACCGCAGATGCCAATTCACCTCTGACCCAGCTTCAATGGGAAGACAACACCTTCGGAATGTGTGCGCTTTTTTATTGGTTCCTAACATCACTGAAGGGCAATGTGGAATAAGAATTCTTTCCACTTGGGTTTGCTCCTTATGAACTGATACGTTAATGGCCCTTAAATAAGTTTACAACTTTTGGTAGGAATGCATCTGCCTTCACACTGGCAGGTTTTCACCACTGGATACATCATAGCTTTATAACAGGCATTTTTTAATGTCATCTTTCCCTCCCCCGTGAGAGACAAAGCTGAGAGAGAGCATCGGCTTTCAGCCACTCTGTATTCTCCCACCTGCAGGTCACCCCTGGTTCCACCTGTGCCGTCTTTGGCCTGGGCTGCGTAGGCCTTTCTGCCGTAATCGGGTGTAAAGCAGCAGGCGCCTCCAGGATCATAGCTGTTGACATCAACAGTGAGAAGTTTCCCAGAGCCAAGGCCCTGGGAGCCACTGACTGCCTTAACCCCAAAGACCTAGATAAACCCGTCCAGGATGTCATCACTGAACTGACCAACGGAGGTGTGGATTTCTCCCTGGACTGTGCAGGAACAGCTCAGACCTTGGTATGTGGATTTCTCTCCCTGTCCTCAGTCCCTGCATCTCACTTCTAATATGCTCTTTAATTACCAGCTAATAAGGGAAATGTTTCTAGCGAGCCATGTTTCTAGCAGTAGATGTCCTTAATATTAATATTTTCAAAAGCCAGAAAGAAAAGAGCTGTGAGCCACAAATCATCGACAGCCACACTGTCCGTCAAAGCTCATTGCTGCGGCCTCTGCGTCAGTCTGATTTTGTTCTATAATGAACTGCCTGGGCTTTTGATGCTTACCAAGAGAAAAGGTTTCTTTTGCTTACATTTGGAAGCTGAAAAAAATCTAAACAGCACAGGGCCAACTCGGGTAAGACTCTCCTCTCTGCGTCACCCCACGAGTGGGATTACGGTGGGAGTACGTCTGTCCACTAGGCCTATTAAAGATCCCACCAGTTATCAACATGGCCACACAGAAGACCAACTCATGAGTCCTTCAAGGACATGGTCAGAACAAGTCTCAGTTATGGCACTTCATAATGCCAGTGTGGTCTGTGAGCTCAGGCCTCCAAGACAACAGCCATACCACTTGCTTACACGTTTGCTCTTTTGAGATCTCTTCTTAGGAAGAAAACAATAGTTTCAAATTTTGTTTTCCACGATGACTCCAATTAGTTCTCACAGGTAACCTGGGGGTTCCTTATTTTTACATAGCTAGGGAACTTCCCCGCCTCCATCAGGTCCAATGAAAAAGGGGATGGACCACCCATCACAGACAGATCATCTCTATAGTTTTCAACTAGGGGTGCCCAGATTTGTTCTTCAGTAAATAATCACATAGTTTGCATTTTCTTTTTTTGTTTTGTTTTGGTTTTTGTTTTGTTTTTCGAGACAAGGTTTCTCTGTGTTGCCCTGGCTATCCTGGAACTCACTTTGTAGACCAGGCTGGCCTCAAACCCACAGAGATCCGCCTGCCTTCCAAGTGCTGGGATTAAAGGCATGTGTCACCATTGCCCGGCTGTACTTTCTTAAGATACCGATTTTATTTTTGCTTGTTTGTGGACAAAATGACCAAAGAATTTATCATCTTACTTATCCACCTTTCTTCTTCTTGTTTCACTGATGTGGGTGAGAAGCAGCTGCGATGTTTCCCGTGTGAGTGACACAGTCATGCACCCTGTTACTAACCCTGCTCTTCCATGTGGCTAAAAGGGGGAAAAGCTGTAAAGATGCACTTGGTGCTGTATCCTTCCCTGGGTCTTACATGACCAGTGCATTCTCTGGAACAGAACAGAGCCAGGAAGAAAGCAATTCCGTCCTGACAGGCTCTAGCAGGTGGTAAAAGCTGGTACACATTGACAGCTACTGAAGACAGCACACATTCAAGGCTTATCTGTGCTGTGCTCTGTATTCTGGGCTTCCCACCCTGCAGTCTGCTGAGCTCCATGTCCATTCTGCACATCCCACAGCTCAGTTTTTACAGTGAAAGGCAGCTTAGCGGCCACAGTTTTTTATTATGATAGCTAGCATTAGACTTCGTCCTATTTAGGGTTTCTACTGCTGTGATGAAACACCATGACGAAACACCATGGGGAGGAAAGAGCCTTTTTGGACAACACTTCTACATCGTAGTCCATCATTGAATGAAACCCGGACAGACACTCACACAGGGCAAGAACCTGGAGGCAAGGAGCCAATGCAGTGTTCAGCAATGTGAAGCCAGCAAAGATTTTTGAAAAGTATCACCTCAAAAGTTCAAAATCAAGTTGGCCACAAAGGACGTGAACAAAATTTGCATGTGTCTTCTCTCTGAGACTCAGAAGATCTAAAATGTTTATCTGTTTGCCTTGTGGCTTTCTACATGGAATGGCTTCCACACTGAAACTTGTATTTTCAGTTTTTAGCATTTCTACATGAACCCCAGATTTACAATGTTCTCTGTCTCAGTCAATGGTTAGCGTATATCTCCATCTCTTGGGCTGCTCTTCCATGTGGAGACCCAGAAACCAAGGAAGTTCAAATCCATGGCCTCACAATCTCAACAAAAGACAGACCTTACAGGCAGGATATATCCTAACTGTAGGCTAAAAAATGCAGGGAAACAAAGTATTATTTTCTAGCATTGTTTTGCTCAATTTTAAACAGCATTTCTTCCCATTTATTCTACTTTTAAATCTGAGTATTCAATGTGTGCCTCATTTCTCAGGCTCTATTGAGTCACTCACTAGCTCTCTTTTCATACTTTTCAATATTTTGATCCCATACCCCAGGAACGTCTTATATTTTAGTAAATGTTTGTGTTAGATTGCCAAACCATTACTGGTTAACATTTATGCTCTACAGACTCTTCTTAATTCCATGTTCATGTTCCTCAGTATGCATGTTATACTTTGCAGGCTCAGCCAAACAATGGTATTCGTACAAGGTAAAACATGTCCCATTTCCTTTTGATATCTTTTTGATTGTTAAGATTATTTTTTAAGCCAGTTGTGATAACACATGCTTTTAATCCCAGCACTGGGGAGACAGAGGCAGGTGGATCTCTGAGTTTGACACCAATCTGGTCTACAGAGGAAGTTTCAGGACAGTGAGGACTCCACAGAGAAATCCTGTCTTGAACTACAAACAAAACAAGAAAGAACTGTTTTTGTAGGTTTCACATTACAGAACACTAGAGCAGAGCCTCAAGGGTCAATCAGATGAGGTGATGACCTCCTTAGCATAGCCTCTTAGGTTACTGACATCGTACAAAATTTCCTGGAGTACTGTATATAGGCACACTAGAGTTCATGTCTAGTCCTCTACTTGCCCAGGTAATCTTTTGTTTGACATTGCAGAAAGCAGCGGTGGACTGCACGACATTTGGCTGGGGATCGTGTACTGTGGTTGGAGCAAAGGTGGATGAAATGAGTATACCCACTGTGGACATGATAATGGGCCGGTCTATCAAAGGAACATTCTTTGGTGGTCAGTTTTTTTTTTCAAAGTTTTTTATTTTTCTTACTATTATATAAAATTATGAAAGATTATTGAATTTTGAAAAGAAAAATCATTGGTATAAACACTGAGTATATATAAAAACTACTCCAGCATTTAAAAAGTAAATGAGGGGGCTGGAGAGATGGCTCAGTGGTTAAGAGCATTGCCTGCTCTTCCAAAGGTTCTGAGTTCAATTCCCAGCAACCACATGGTGGCTCACAACCATCTGTAATGAGGTCTGGTGCCCTCTTCTGACCTGCAGGCATACACACAGACAGAATATTATATACATAATAAATAAATAAATATTTTTTTTAAAAAAAAGTAAATGAGGTTTGCATGGAAATATGATTACAACTTGCAAATTGAAATTCAGCTTAAATAACTGGTGGGCTTAGCGGTACAAGCCAGGAATCCCAGTACTCAAGAGAGTAACACAGATGGATCTTGTCTGAGGCAAGCCTTCATATGCTGAGTTGAAGGCCTAGCTGAGCTGCACAACAAGAACCTATCTCAAAAGAAAATGGAAAAATTGGTTGAAATGAGACAATCGGTTGAAAGAAACAAAAGGGAAATTTTGGTCTAATTAAGGTAAAATTCTTAGCTAGAGTGGATAATAATCTTGGTTTTTTCTTATGAAGAAAAACCTTATTATTTATTTACTTACTTATTTTGGTTTTTCAAGACAGGGTTTCTCTTTGTAGCCTGACTGTCCTGGAACTCACTCTGCAGACCAGACTCAGAGATCTGCCAACCTCTGCCTCCCACGTGCTGGGATTAAAGATGTGTGCCACTACTTCCTGGCAAAGAAAAATTTTTTTTTTTTTATTTTCGAGACAGGGTTTCTCCGTAGCTTTTGGTTCCTGTCCTGGAACTAGCTCTTGTAAACCAGGCTGGCCTCGAACTCACAGAGATTCGCCTGCCTCTGCCTCCTGAGTGCTGGGATTAAAGGCGTGCGCCGCCACCGCCCGGCAGAAAATTTTTTTAATATAATAAACCCATAAAATTAAAGGTGGAGCAAAGTTCAAGCTTATTGTATTTAAAGCAACCCAAATCTGACCTAGAAATCTCACCTCTTCAACAAGCACACTTATCTAGATTTAAATAAACAAAAGGACATTCAACTAGAAGGGGACCAGCAGGAGGTGGGACAGGTGACAAGAGAGAAAGCTCGGGATCTATTAACAAAGTAGATTTTGTAGATGTATGAATTCCAGAAAGATGTCTTTAAATAAGAAAAATTAAAACTATTTCAGTACGTCAGATGACAAGCCTTTCTTTATGTGACACTGTGGCCAAATTGCAGGTTGGAAAAGTGTGGATTCCGTGCCACACCTGGTTACTGCCTACATGAATAAGCAGTTCGATCTGGACATACTCGTGACCCATAACCTACCTTTCGACAAAATCAATGAGGCAATCGGCCTGATGAACCAAGGAAAAAGGTAAGCAGCCAAGTCTGTGACTGGGTGGTTTAGAAATCCTTTATAATTTTTTTATTTATGACTTTTTATTTTATGTGTACATGTGAGTATGTGTGTGCACGCACCATGTGCATGTAGGTGCTTGAGGAGGTCAAGATAGGATGTCAGATCCCCTGGAACTAGAATTACAGGCATTTGTGAGCCACCTGATGTGGATGCTGGGAACTGAACCTGGCTCCTCTGCAAGATCATCAAATGCTCCTACCCAGGGAACCATCTTCCAACCCCAAACTTTATGGTTTTTATTGAAACCAACAACTAACCGGATGTCTCTTCTGACTCTACATCAAAATCACCAGATCAAATAACAGCCATTTGGGGAAAAGAAAGGCTTCCATTTCCACAATACACAGTGCTATACGCTATGCGGTATACAGTAGTGGCATATCGGGTACATGTTTTCCCTTTCACAAACAACAGTTAGCTCAAGCCAGTTGTTCCCTAGAAGGAGAGATTTCTATCATAGAACATCGGTTCCTCTGGCCCAGTGTGCCTAAGTCTAGAATCGTTTTCTGTGATTTAACAAAGGGCCTTAATGGTCAGAGCCCTGTGCAACCACTGAGATGTGAACAGAGAGAGGAAAGTATCAGGTATGTATAGAACTTGAGCTCTCTCTGCCTTGGCTTGTCCTGGGGCTCCTGTAAGATCACTTTGCCTGACAACTTTAGATGCACTGTGTCTCAGCATTGGTTCCTAAATATTCATTTATAGCAATGCTCCAAATGAGGGATTCCCAGAGGCTGGGGACTGGGCAATAGTGGGATTAATTATTTTAGTTAATTTACAGCCTATATATAGAAGAGAAATAGGGCAAAGAACTTAAGAGACATGGCAAAGAAGAGGCGAGATAACTAACGTGTTGGGCCCTAAACTAAAGTGAAAGCGATGGGAGTTGGAAGCAGAGAATAAGCATTGCAGGAAGAGAAAAGGGGTCCATGGGGTAAGGACCCAGGTTATTTCATGGAGAAGAAACAGAAGAAAATATCCCACTGACATTTACTGTCCCAATTGGCAAACACGTCAGGCACATCATATCAAAAAGTTCAGAAAAGAGAAAAAAATGATTATTTTTAAAGCTACATTATGTAAACCTAGTAGATAAGTCCCTTGTAAATCTGAACGTGCCTACAGGATTTCTCAAGTCAGGAGTTGGGTTGGGAGGCCTGAGAACCCGGGGCTCATAGCTCTTCTACTGCAACCCCTTTCTCCTGAAGTTCTCAGTCACAGAATGCATCCACAAGGAATGCTAAGTAGTAGTAGCCAAGTGGAAATGTCATGCTGCATTGTTAGCAGAGGGCCGAACCTCCCATATTCCACAAGGAATTCCTAAGCAATTAGAGGATGAGCAGAAGCTTGGGGGTAGGTCTTCCTAAGGTGACTTTCATACTCCCTCACTGGTCCTAAGGGAATTGCCTATCTGTCTCCCAATGGACAAGTGGTCTTCACCACACGGGCACAGGAATCCTATGAGAGGGGAAGTCCTCCTGTCTTCCTAACTCCATAGATGAAAAGGAGGGAAGGGAAAGCACACAGAACACATAACTTCCGTTTCCCGGGTAAAGGACATATTTAGGCACGGCACCTGCATACACAACATTCTTCAGCTGCCACTGTGGGGTCTGTGCCGGGGTTTCTGTCCTTGTTTACACACATGGGGTGACTCGGGAGTGCCATCAGAGTTTTCAGAAAGCAGCCAGCAAGCGCATCAACCTCTCTCTCCTCTGATGTCCTACTTTGCCAGGAGTGGCGTCTTCTCAATGCTAACGCCTCATTCCCCAGCTGGTGTGCCTTAATTCCCAACAGCACCACCAGCAGCAAGGGCCTCCCTCTGTCAGGTCAAAATTCCACTGTCCCCCCCCCCCCCCCCCCGTCTGTCAGCACTGTCACAAATATTATCAACGCCGTGAATGGAGGAAGGCGACAAAAGAGAAGAAATGATTCTTAACGGTGTGGCGTCTAGCAGGGAGGAGTGGGACAGAAGGGGGGGGGGATCTGACCAGAGCACACTGTGCACATGCCTTCAGTGTCAGCATGAGCCCCACTGTTGCACATAAATAGGATATGTTAGTAGCGCATGTTTCTCTAAAGCTCAAACTCTGAAGTGAAAAGAAAAACAACGTGTGTACTTTGGATAAATGTTCATATAAATAGTATTTATTGCTTTATTGTTATTATTATCAGCATCCGAATAATCCTGACCTTTTGAAGATAGAGAAGCAATCTGGAATGTTATCTGATTGGACCTGAGCCTGTCTGGTTGGCTTGCTGCTTCACACGATGAGCCAAAGACAGCTAGGAGTTGGAGCACAAGTCTGCACTTTGTACCTCAACATAAGTTAACTATAAATGATAGGCCAAGTGTGCCTGTAAGATATATTCAGGTTTCCTATATGAAATAACCGATGGTGGGTCTGTGGCTCACGGGCACATTGCTGGCTTAGCACGTGTGAAAACATAAGTGGATGAAGGAATGAAAAGATACCTGACGTATGTATAAATACAATCATATGTTTAGGAATTGTTTAAAACTTTTTTTTCAGAAGTGGGAGTAGGAAATGAAAAAATAAATAAATAGGTCTGGCTATATATCTGTAACTTCTGAAGCTGGGGGATGAACACACGGAATTTCTTACTCTTCACTTTCTTCTATGTCGACAGCTTTCCACAATAAAGAGACTTTTGTACTGCAAAAAACATAGTACACACACATGTGTGTATATATAAAATATTATCTTATTTCTGTGTTCTAATAAACTATAAGCTAATCTTAACAGATACTAATTTCTTTTTTAATGTGTTCATTTCAAACTCTTAGCCCCATTTTATAATCATTCACTACAACCGTAAGTAATGGGATATCAAAATCTACATAAAAGAAAATGTTTAAAAGAAAAAATACATCTATACTCTTACTTTCTCTCTATAAAGTACTGTCCTTTTGCCTGGTAATTATAATACATTAAATTTTGTGATTTGCTGGACAAGAAACAGTAACTGGCACAAGCTGATGCTCTTTCCTCAAGTCAACTGAAAGTAATAAAGAACAAACAGGGCAGTGGTGGTGCACACCTTTAATCCCAGCTCTCAGAAGACAGAGGCAGGTGAACCTCTGAATTTGAGGCCAGCCTGTTCTACAAAGCCAGTTGCAGGGCAGCCAGGGCTACACAGAGATACTCCTATTTCCAAAAACAAAGAGGAAAAAAGGAGCAGAGAACAATGTACCAATGTACTTATAATAAAGGAGATAGGTCTGGAGAAATTGCCAAGTCATTAAGAGCACTGGCTCTTCCAGAGGCCCTGTGCTTAATTCCTAGCAACCACATGGCAGCTGACAACTGTGTGACTCAGTACCAGGGCATCCAATGCCCTCTTCTGACCTCTGTGGGCACCAACCAGACAGGCCTTACCTACATGCAGGCAAAACACTCAAACACAGAAAATAAAAATAAGTAAATCATGACCCTAATCACAACACCTGAGAAACAGAGGCAGAGAGAGACTAGGTCTAATCTCAAAGCCCATCTCCAGGGACACACCTCCTAATCTTTCTCAGTTTCATTCCCAAACATGAGACTATGGGGACCAGTCTTATTCAACCATCACACCTGTTTTGAGTTCTGAGAGAAAAACGTCTCTGAAACCTTGACTGGGGAGAGGGGGGCAATGATATCTTAAAGCAGAGGCTCATATTCCTGGCTGGTTGGTTGTCTCAAAACCATGACACTGATCAAGCTGGTCTCAAATGAATAAGCTATCTTCCTCCCTGTGGCCAAGTGCTGATACCAGGCCTGTGTCCTGTCCCTGCTTCTTGAAAACTGTTTTTTAGAAATAGAAAAGTTGTTCTGGGCATGTTTCCTTTGCCAGTGTTGCGGGGCTAAGACACACTTCCCAGGTATTGGCCTCTCATGCTATCCCAGCATGCTTTGTCTCCTCTTTCAACCTCCCCTCCTCTCCTTTATTTCCTTGATACCTAGATTGCTCCATACCCACCTCCGTTTAAGACCTTTCCACCACAAAATGCCTCATTTTCCATTGCCTTGGGCACTCAGTGACTTTACAGAAACCTCAACAAATGTTGCTACTACTGTTTCTCAAATCTCAAATCTTGCAACCTCCTTTAAAGCAGAACAATCTTTAAATATATAGACAGGAAGCACATTTGGTAACAAGTTTGTTTTCATGTGCATCCAAATAATCTATATTCACTCTTTTTGGTTGTTGTTGTTTGGGGGCTTTATTTTGAGAATTCATATATAAGTGCTGTATTTACATCATTTCTATCCATCTTCTCTCTCCAGCTCCTCTCCCATCCCTTCCCCTACTCCCTCTCAAATTCCTGACCTCGTCTTCAATTGTTACATATATACATACACACACACACACACACAAACACAGATATATACAATTAGAATCTGCTGATCCATTTAGTATCACTCATATTCTCTATGTGTTCAGGACTAATCAACAGGGATTGGAAAACCTATTGGGGATTTCTTCCTAGAGGAAACCTAGCTTCTTCTCTCAGTAGCCATTAATTGCCTGTAGGTCCTCATCTAGGGGTGTGTCTTGTGAGACTTCTCCGGTCCACGTTGCAATCTCAACTTGTGTTGTCATTGTGCCGGTCTTGTATAGGAGACCATGTTATCTTTATATATAGAAGGTATCTTCTATATAGAGAAGACACTATCTGGAGGCAGACTTCCTGTTTTGAGTGGAATTTTTCAATAACATTTTCTATATTCCTCTTTTCTTTAATCAAGGCCAACCTTGGCTACAGATTGAGATCTTATTTAAGAAAATATCACATACAAGTAATGCGGTTTGCAATGCATAGAACACATGAAAGTCTACATTCTGACAGCCGGCTCCTTTCCCCACAAGCACTCTTTCACTAATGAATGCCGCCTCCTGAAAAGCTAGATGCAACACACACTTCAACATGTCCAGACTGCCAGGCCACTGAAACACACTAGGACTTGATTCCCTCCAAAGGGAAAAAACAAAAAGTATTATAGTAATGACCGGTTTTCTGGGCAATGTACTTTCTGCTGCTGTAAATAACTGTCCTGCTCTTTATTTGCCAATGTTCCAGTCGAAGGATTAAAGTTTTAAGGCACATATACCTTCTTTGGGATAGTAAATCTGCATATCAAAATGTGTTTTCCCAACATAACAAGGCACACATTGACTTACAAAAGCTGTTTTGTGTGTCTAACATTATTGACAATATTCATGCACTCCTATAATAGTATGCAGCGTTTGAGTTTAAAAGGCAATCTGATCACAGCACTACTATACATTTGTCTGAGAAGGGCAAAGGGTTTTAACATAACCACTATGCCTCTGGTACCTTAGTTTTCAAAATGCTACCACAGCACCCTCTGGTGTTCCCTTGAAATTCCCATCTCCTAGATGCCTTTTTCACTGAGAGAAACTAGTCAGGAAGAAAAGCAATTTCTATTGACACCAGCAGAAATTGTATTTTAAAGGGTCCCTTCCTCTGTATTATCTAATGTGACCCTCAAACACTTCCCGCTATAAGGTCCCTGAAGTTAGAGCTAGATTCCTAACCTGAGTGTCTTACCGAGCAGCTTCCAGACACTCACCCGTGGAGTGGGCAAGGCAGACTTTATTGTCCACTGAGAAAATCTGTTACAGGAACACACACACTGCTTTTCCAATTGACTTATGAGGATATCTCCGTAAGCTAAACATTTGTTGTTTGGTTTGGTTTGGTTTGGTTTGGTGAAGATTGATGTTTGGTTGGCTTTGGTTTGTTCTGCTTTATTTGAGAGATTCTGTCTCAAAACGTAGACCAGGCTGATCTAGAACCCACAGAGGCCCACTTGCCTCTGCCTCCCTGGTGCTACAATTAAGACATGTATTATCAAGCCCAGTCGAGGTAAACACTTTCTTAAGAATGGATGGGGAAACATGGAATGTTCTTGTTCTTAGGTGATACTTGAAGAAGATAGAGGTGATTTCACAGATTGGGAGTTCAGACAGAGGCAGAAAGTAAACGGTGCTAAAGTATCCCTTGGTACACCTAAGCGACAGAGGTAGAGCTGCCCATTCTCTTCTTTTTCAAATTGTGAAACATTTCAAAATAAAAAGCTAGAGAAGACATTTTGAAGATAAAAATTTTGAGGATACAAACTTGCATGAACACTCAAATATAATAAAGAAATCACTCTTAAAAACACACCACTCCAAAATAACCAGGCTATTGCCAAGGCTACTGGTTGACCTCCACAAACCAACAATAAGGCCCCATTGCCAGAGACGACACCTACACAACTCACATGGAGAAGTCAAGCAAATGCCTACCTAGGGCTGTCACCCCTAATGACAAGTGTCCCTAGTACTGGAAGGTACTCGGCATGCTACCAAAGGAAAAAAGTAAACTCCAACCCACCACCAACTCATCTACAATGATGAGCTGCCTACAAGATAGATGCACTAGTACAATGGTGGTTCAAAGGCTATGGGAGTAACTAACCAACACCTGAATGCATTTAGGCCACTCCATGAGATGAAATCCATCACCAACACTGCTCAGGTGGCCAAGAGTTTGAGACCAGATAGGCCAGGGACCTAGGGGAAAACCGTTCTGCTAAAGGAAGTTTGCCATACAGTGACTGCTAACATTCTGCTATGTTCATAAATGAGAGAGCCTTACTCAGCCATCATCGGAGACGATTCCTCCTGCCGTAGATGGGAACAAACACAGAGACCCACAGCTAGGCAATGTACAGAGAGTGAGAGACCTGAAACACTCCTAAATTGGATGTCTCCATCAGAATCCTCCCTCGGGGCTCAAGGAGCCCCGCAGAAGAAGTAAAAAGATTGTAAGTGCCATACAGGATGGAGGACACAAAAGAAACAAGGCCCTCTAAACACCGGATTGAAGCCCATGTGAGCCCACAGAGACTGAGACAGTATGCACAGGACCCACGCAGGTCTGAACCTACGGGGTTCCAGCCATAAGAGGGGAAGGAGACCCAAGCCCCCAACCCTAACACAGAAGCTATCCCCAATTTATAACCACTCACAAATGAAAAATTAGTGTTCTCCAACAGAGTGTCACTGGGGACACAAACCACTCTTAAGGGCAGGCCCTGCGTCCAGTAGATGGCAAACACGAAATGAATTCATTGGCATCTTTGAAGGTTCTTTGTCTCACATTTTGTCAGAATTTATATTTTAACTTTACAGATCCTTTGTGTATATATTTTGGCTTCTGGTTTTTATGGGATTCCTGTGTATATGAACATCTGTGCTCTCTGGAGCTGTGTTTCTAGTGATTTTCCTTTGCTTCTTTTTCTTCTGTTTATTTTGTCCTAGTCCAGTTTTCGTTTTATTTTATCTTTAGATGACTGCTTGCTTTCTAACAAGAGACAGAAAGGGTATTGATTCAGACAGCAGGTGGGGGTGGGAAGGATCTCAGATATTCAGAATATATTTTAATAAGAAAACTATTTTCAATGAAAGAAGAAAGTAAAGAAAAGATAAATACACGATCTGATCATTCCAGCAGATCTTCCGTCTTCCAGGTCTGCTTCTGATGCTTGCTCTGTTTGTTCAAACTGTGTCTTACTCTTTTGTGTGCCTTCTAATTTTGTTATGAAAAGGCAGATATAATTTACTGGGTAAAATGAACTACAGTGAGTGCAATGCTAGTAATTATAAGGAACAGAAGAGAAGAAAAAACCAGTTTTTAATTCTTTATCTGAGTCTTTAGGTGGCCCTAGAAAGTCATTCACAGTTGCACCTTTTCTTTTTTTTTTCTTTTTAATTCTCACCCCTTTATTACAGGATAGCTAGAGCTAAAGGGAGCTGAAGTTGACTCCTCTCCATTCTCCCTCACTGGCTGGGCAAAGGCAAAACCCATGCTGAACTAAGAACCTGATAAAATAAATTTTGAGGGCAAACCTCAAGAACAGACATGTCTACATTTCTACTCCCTCTAGTGTGGACAGGAGGAAATTCTCTCACCTTCGCTGAGAAGTCAAGGAGGTAAAATTTACAAGAATGAGAAGATCCCCTCCACTCCACACAACTGCATCCTCCCTAGAGTTTACGAGTGCCGGACCAAAGCACAAGAAACCTCCGACAATATGCCAAACACACTTCAGTTTCTTACACCCGTGCTGCTGCTTGAAGGGATGGGATTCTAGTCTGATAAATCGTGATTCTCTGCATTTCTGTCTCTAATCTGGGGGCAGCAGTGTGACTTCACTTCTCTAAGAATTGATAATTCCTCAACTTGTTCAGCTTTTAGGTGGAATATAACTTCTCATCTCCATGCGTGGTGGTCCATAGACTCATATACATATGTTCGGTTCCACCAGAGAGTGGAACCGAACCAGATGAAAGGCTAAGATCAGGAGGCGTGGCCTTGTTGGAGGAAGCATGTCATAGGGAGTGTGCTGAGAGGTTTCAAAAGCCCCTTGCCAAGCTCATGCCTCTCTCCCTCTCCCTACCTCCTTCCCTTCCTCTCTTCTGAACATAACTCTCAACTACTTCTCCAGCACCACATCTGCCTGCTACCATGCTCTCTGCAATGAAGATAACGATAATGGCCTAAATCTCTGAAACTGTAAGCAAGACTCCCAGTTAAATGCTTTCCTGTCTAAGAGTGGCCTTGGTCTCTTCACAGCCCCAGAAGTCTGACTAAGCACCATAGCCGTCAAAGCAGAAAGCAGATGTCCTACTGGTTTTTGTTGTTGTTTGTTGGTTTAAGGAGAGAGGTTGAAAAAATGCAAAGTTTAAATAATAAACCTGAAGTAGGGGAAGGAAATAAAGGCACTCACTAGAATCTGAATTTTATCCCTATCTTGCCCTTAAATATTGTTAGAGTAACAATATTAGATTGTTACCCATCTGACTTCAAAAAAAAAGAAGAAAAAAGAAAAAAATCTAAGCGAAGGAAACAAAATGCATTGATCAAGGTATGTTTTAAAAGATCGCAAAGAAGGGGCATTAATTTAGAAAGGTGTTAGAGATTCGGTCTTCGGGCATCAAGGAAATAGGTAAGAGGCTTTCTGGACCGTAAAAAATAATGAGAGCCTGAACTAGAATAGCAGCAGCGAGGAGAAAAGGGTTACAAGATGTGAGAGAGATTGAAAGGTTAATAAAAATGATTGCAGAGACCAAGGGAAAGGAAGAAGTTGTGTGAGGGGACCAGGGCCAGTTGGTTTTAAGGGGTCAGTTTGCTAAGACCTCTGCCCCATATTACCCCACCATCCTATGCTGACTCGTGTGCTCACTCGTGTCCGCCATCAACCAGACCCTCAGGAAGTACGCCCCGTCCGAGGCCAAACAGGGTCCCTACCCAACCACAAGTAGGAACTGTTCTTGCTATCTTCAGTCAAACAGACCCCTGACACAGCAACCACAGTTGCTGACCAGATGTCATAAGCCAGTCACTGAATGATTCCCACACCAAGCAGGGTCTACACCCAATCACTTCAAGAAACGCCTACCACAGCTGGAATTCCCCTAAGCAAGCTTTAAAAAGACTTGACTGTCTTACTCTTTTCCCCACAATCGGCGCCAGTCTGGGTAGACTCCAGCATGCTGATTTCTCTGTCTCCAGAAGAAAGCTGCTTTCCGCAATTGCTGAATTGATTTGGGATTCTGGCTCGAGCGCGTAAATGGACATCCTTGCCATCAACACAGACATGTAGAGAAAAGTCCCTTTAAGAGGAAAAGACAAGATTAGTTTGAAATGAGTTGAGCTTTAAGCACCATGAAATACGCTAATTCACACAGGTATCTAGTAGGCACTTTGCACTTCAAGCCTGGAGTTTAGGAAAGCCACCCTGATGGGAGACAGAATATCTTCAGTGTATATAAGTTAAAAACCAGGGGCTGGAGAGATGGCTCAGTGGTTAAGAGTATTGCCTGCTCTTCCAAAGGTCCTGAGTTCAATTCCTGGCAACCACATGGTGGCTCACAACCATCTGTAAAAAGGTCTGGAGCCCTCTTCTGGCCTGCAGACATGCACACAGACAGAATATTGTATACATAATAAATATTAAAAAAAAAAAAGCCAGAGTGTGAGTTAGGGTGAAATGAGGGATACAGTATCTTGAAGATCGTCAACTCTAAGGTCTGGCTTCAGTAAATAAGCCTTGAGATATACAGAGAATGAAGTGTTCTAGTAGGTTCGTTTCAACAAAAATTCCTCCCCATCCACACGCAGCATTTAGGATTCTGTCAAGAACGCAACATCCTCCGTCTCTCTTTGTCTACTCTTAAAACGAGCCCAGTCTGCTCCCTCATTCCCTTCCTGAAAATTCTTCTCCCCGTGTCCTGTGGCCCCTGAAATCCCAGGAACCGGGCAGAAGCAGCAACTGGAGCTCGGCAGTTCGTTTCTAGGAACTCCCTCTAGTGTTCCGAGTTCTCGGGAAACTCTGCCGCTGGGGGCAGTGTGGACGCTTCCAGAAGCACGGAGCACAAGGAGGGGGCGGGGACACGACCCGGAAAGCGTGGCTTTTTCCTCACGTGCTTCATGAGGGCACTCCGGTTCCCTCACATTATACTTCTCTCATTTCTAAGCCTTACGTACAATGACTGCACCAAGTTAGACAAGAAACTGCCACAGAGATGCTCTGAAGCGACTCGATCACGCCAGCCCGGAATAAAAAGCTTCACTGGCTCAGGATAAAAATCCCCGCCATCTCCATCTGCGGAGCGCGGAAACCAAAACAGGCTCCGCCCTTCCTGCATTAGCCCCGCCTCCCTCTCAAATCCCGTCCCTCCACAGACCCCCGCCCCCTACGCACGCCGCCTCTGCATCATACTCCGCCCCCGCGCTCAGCCCCGCCCCTCACGCACGACCCGCCCCTTCCCGGGATCCGCTAGACCTGTTGCTTGACGTTCTGCTCAGGAACCCTAACCTGCGAACATGGCGAACCAGGTATTGAAAGGCGCGATGGGCCGGAGAAGAGGAAGGGAACGCTCGGGGGTGCGCTGCCGCCAGCCCGGGAAGGCGAGCGCAGCCGCAGCGAGGGCGGGAAGGCTTTGTTTCGGTCCTGCGCTTGGGGAGCAACTTTGCTTTTTGCTCTGCTCGGCCCGAAGCCGGTTGGGAAAAGGCCCGCGGCCTTCACGCAGGCTCACGCTTGCAGGATGGCGGAGCTGGAGCACTGACCGTGCTCAAAACTACCAAGCAAAGTCAGACTGTTCCTTGGGCCTTTGCTTTCCGTGTGCAGCACCGTGTACCTGTTTCTTTAAATCACATCTTACTGACTTTCAAGTCCATCTCCAATAAACCCAGTGACTTGCAACCTTTATTCTGTCAACGTATTTCATAAGCATCAAGTAACCTAACAAAATCCAACCTTCTCATTAGGCTTGTGTCTGGGGTAAGGAAAGGCAGTACTGAGTGGAATCGCTTTGGTAGCTCATTACTTTAGATGCACGATAAAAAAAAAATTGCGTATGGAATTTTAAACTTGCCAGGAGCCATATTAAAAAAGAACACCAAATAGTTACAACAGTGTTTCAACATGTTATCAGTATTTTTAAATTGAGGTATTTTTTACTCTTCTAAGCTTTCAAAATTTACATTTGTAGCCGATCTCAGTTTACACTAACCTTTTCTAATGTTCAATAGCCACACATGGCAAATGGCTAATGTGTTAGCTAGCACAGTTCCAATAGATGATTGTGATATTTTTACATATCCCTCATTTAGATATTTCTTAGGATCCTTTCCACTGGGCAGTTTTGCACTAAAGTGGTGTTTTATAAGCTGTCCAAAGGAAAATATTATTAGGATACATGATAATAAACTTGTGGTTCCTTGAGTTACTAGCCTAGCCTACTGATAGGACCTGGGTGGGATTTTGTTGTTGTTAGCTTGGCTTGTCTTTTGTTGTGTTGGGGATCAGATCCAGGGCCTTGTGCATTCTAGGCAAGTGCTCTACCATTGAGCTGTATCCCTAGCTTGGCTCCTGTATCCTGTATTCTTTATTTTGTCCTCCTGTTTTTGTTTGTTTGTGTAGATAAAGCCAGAACTTTCTGTACGTGGGCCTTAAATTCACGGAGATCCTCCTGCCTCTGCCTCCCAAGTGCTGAGATTAAAGTATGCACTTCCACACCCAGCAGGACCTGTATCTTATCTGTTCTCAATTAAATCCTTGTGTGTGTGTGTGTATGCGCGCGCACCACGTGCATGCAGAAGCTTGTGGAAGTCAGAAAAAGACACAGGTTTTCTGGAACAGGAGTTCCATCTAGTTGTGACGTAGATGCGGAACCTGGAGTCCTCTGCAAGAGCAGCAAGTGCCATCTCTTCAGCCTTTCAAATATATGTGTGCATGCGTGCGTGTGAAGGTTTTTCCAGGGAAGGTTTGAGATGGGATCTTTCTGTGTAGCCCTGCCTGTCCTGCAACTTGAAATGTAGAGCAGACTGGCCTCGAACTCTTAGAGATCCAGCCTCTTAGTTGCTGAACTAAAGGTTTGCATCACTATCCCTGGCCCTTTAATTATATATTTTTAAGTATATTACTTATGTGAAACCATTTCACACAGAGGTATATGTTTTCTGTGAACATGTTTGCTTCATTTAGTTTTGTGTGTGACTGAGTGTGTAGTGTGTGTGAGTGTTTAAGCATGTTCACATGTGGGTACGGGAAGGGCTGAGGCTGACATCAGGAGTCGTCTTCTGTCACTCTCCACCATATGTGCTGAATCGGGGTCTTTCTCTTGAACCCCGAGCTCGCCAGCACAGGTAGTCTAGCCAGCCAGCTTGCTCTGAGGATCCCCTGGCTGCCATCTGAGTGCTGGAATTACAGACAGGCCACCGCATCCATGTATGCTGTGGAGCTGAGCTCTGGTCCTCATGCCTGCACAGCAGGGCCTTTACCCACGGAGCCATCTCCCCGGCCCTGGTACACTCTAGCGTTAGCAGTCATTAGTATCTGAGTTGCCTGTCGAGGAATCATTAATTTAGAGGGATAAACTGTTTACCACCTTTTCCCCCACTTCAGGTGATCAGATGCAAGGCTGCAGTCGCCTGGGAGGCTGGAAAGCCTCTCTCCATAGAGGAAGTCGAAGTAGCACCTCCCAAGGCTCACGAAGTTCGAATTAAGGTAATGTTACAGCAAGGCTCTGTGGGAAGAAGCATGCAGTTAGTCTCTGGATAGAGGAGTAGGCCTGAGGGCTGCAGAGGATAAACCCAAAGGGTGGTGTCCAGGAGGAGGCATCGGAAGCCTTCCAGCCATGGAATCACACAGCCCTCTCACCTGCCCTCCCTAGAAGCAGCCCTCTGGGGCTGAGAAGCCAAGCCTCTGGATTAGTGGACTACAGCGATATAACTTTTTATGGTTTGGGTTTAAGGCAGCTTTATATGATCCTCTCCTCCCTGCTAATCCCATAACTCACAGTGTGGTGCATTAAGTCAAAGAATAGACTCGATCTTCAGGTTTGCTTCCAGAAAACTGGGGAAAGGTTCTTGATTGATTAGAGCAATAAACAAAGTTCTCTTGCCTAGAGAGCATTAAAATGCCCCTGGTGGACTAGGTCAGGGTCCAGTGGATTTATTAGTCCCCTGCTCCTTACCTTTCACTGTGGCTAAGAAAAGAAGTTACCCCTGGAGAGAGGCAGAAGACAGCATTCCCCAGAGACCTTTGACTTCTTGACACAAAACTTCATTTTACCCTCTGTTCTGTGCTGGTTTTGGGTAAAAAGTGAATGCTTTAAAGTCAAAACCATTACATGTGTTCTGTTCCATAACATTCTGGAAAAATGTTTCTTTTCAAGGAAAAGAGCCATGGGTCTCTTGCTTTGCCCCCAGACACACCATGCACTGCCTGTGCCCCAAGGTTCACAGAAAGATCTGATTGAGAAGCACAAAGCCTAACGCTTTTCAAGGTCCTTTTCAGCCAAGTCTAAGACTCTGAAATCTCATACTTTGTGTATTTCTGTTCGTGTTCAGAAATTAAGCTGGTGGATGCTTTGCCAGTAAAGAAAGCAGTTTGTCCTAGATAAACGAAGATGAATAGTGTGGACACGGTGAACTTTCGTCCCCCAGAAAGCTGGTGACGTACAGAAAAGGATGGGGTACAGAGGACGGAAGCAGAAAAGCATAAATACGAACAAGATTTTTCCTTTAATTGATTTTTTTAAATGTATATGTTGATGTACCTCTGTGAATTTCTGTGTGCCAAGCGCATGCAGGAACCTGAGGAGACCAGAGGGCGTTGGAGCCCAGGGGAGCTGCAGGTAGTTGTGAGCCGCCTAATGTGGGTGCTGAACCCACACACCGGATCATCTGCAAGAATGGCACGCACTCTTAGTCACTGAGCCATCTTTTCACTGCGCCCCCTACCTTGTTTGAGTAGAAACTGTACTTCGGCCAAAAGACTCCATCCCACTAAAAGCTCTGAGTTTGGCGGAGACCAGACAGGCAGGCACCTCTCAGAAATAATGTCTTCTTAGGTATTACATTCCAAGTTAGGAAGCCGGCAGTGGGATGGCCTCCGCTGTTCGGATTCTCTTTATCACGGAAGGCACAGTGCTGGTGAAGCCACCAGCTTTACCTCTGCTTGCTCATATCAAAAGGGAAAATGGCTCTGTCGCACCTTCCTGCATATTAACGCACCACCATGCTCATTAGTACCAGGAAGTCTGCCGGGTCTAAGAATTGTAAACGTGCTAATTCTAGAGAAGTACAGTTATAAAGGAAATGTAGCTAGAAATTTACAAAATGTGCTGTCTGCAGCTGCATGTGCACACTTAGATGCTGTTTCTCTTGACGCCCTGGTAGATCATCGCCACCGCCATTTGCCACACCGATGCCTATACCCTGAGTGGAGCTGATCCTGAGGGGTGTTTCCCAGTGATCTTGGGACATGAAGGCGCTGGGATTGTGGAAAGCGTTGGTGAAGGGGTCACTAAGGTGAAGGCAGGTAAGGAAGGCATCTGATCCACTCATCTTGATTTTGGCTTGTTTCTGGTAGTGTTACTGATTAACCGTATCTATTTCTGAGCAGGCATCACCTACGGAAGTTGTCAGTTAATTTCAGTTATCTTGGAAGCACAAGTATTTGGATTCATTTTTTTTCCTCTTTGATTTTTCAAACTGCTTTTCATTTGAAACTTTTTATTTAAAACTGTCTTAAGTACATTACCAAAAGTAATTTTGGCAAGTTAAGCAAGAATTTATAGGGATGTGTCAATGAATTGGTGGTTTTGAAACATATCAACCTCTTGAACCTCCAATTATTGAGAGTTTTGTTTAGATCTTTGAAACTTACCTTTCTGTGCGTGGCTGGTTAGTGTCTGAACCATGCTCTTTAGATGACGTTTCTAGCCTTGAGGCCGTTTCTTTGCAGGCTGTGTCAGCTGACAGAATCAGGAAAACTGCTATGTTCACCTAGAGCCAGCCCCACAGTCAGGATAATAATGTCACGTTTGCTTCCTAGGTGACACTGTCATCCCGCTTTACATCCCACAGTGTGGAGAATGCAAATTTTGTCTGAATCCTAAAACAAACCTTTGCCAGAAGATAAGGTTAGTATCTTTTTAAAAATATATATAGCTCTTTCAAAAAAGCTAATGCGTGTGCATGTACTATGTGTCTGCCTGTTGCACATGCAGGGGTCGCAGCAGGACGTCAAAGAGCTCACACCCCACCTTCATCTTCCTCCCTGTTAAATGACAAGCTTTTCTTGGGGAGATATAACACATACATGTCTACTTAACCCACATAGGGAGCCCACAACAGACCAAACTATAGATACCACCGAAGCCCAGCTTGGTGAACCATGCATTTTATTAGGGTTTTTTACAAGGATGTGGGTGAGGGGTCACTTACAGGAGCAGAAATACTCAGATAGCTGCATTCCCAAAGCCCCCCCAGCACAGGAGACAGCTCACAAAGGCTGGGAACCTGGAGCACACTGCACAGCCTGCAGGTTAGAGGCTGTCCTTTCCAAGGGCCCCAGTTGGTCTGTACCTCTTCCAGGTAGCTGCTCTGGTCTGAGAGTCGTCTTTGCAGCTTGGCTCTCTTGTCTGAAGGGGACCCTTGCTCTGGCAAGAAGGGGCATAGTGAATCTGGTTAGTTTCAAGGACTTCCTGAAGCTATTTTGACTTGTTTACCTTCCTACTTAAGGAGCTTCCTTGCAGAATGAAATGTTTCAGTTTTAAGAGGAAACTGTTAGTACAACTTCCCTACCCCTTTCCTTTGAGACAGGGTTCTCTTACACTGAAGCTCTCCAGTTCAGCTGTGCTGGCTGGCCATAGCTCCTGGGTCTGCCTGACTCCTCCCCAAATCCACCCACCCACCTCCGCACTAGGGTTACAGCATACGGGTCAGGCCTGGTCTTTCACATGGATTCTGCACTTTGTACTCAGATCTGCGTGCTGGCACAGTAAGTGCTTTAACTGCTAGGCCATCTCCCTGGCCCTCTATTAATACAGTCTTACAATAAGAGATCTTAATGGCAGTAAGAATGGTGCTCCAGAGATGGCTCAGTGGTCAAAGCACTTGTACTAGCTGTCTTCCAAAGGACCCAGGTTTGATTCCTGACACCTACATGGTGACTCACAACCGTCTAACCCCAGTTCCACGGGAACTGATGCCCTCTTCTGACCTTGGGGCACTAGTCACACACATGGTGTATGTACATACCTACATACACACATGCAAACACACACACGCAAAACACCCATACACACAAAAAAATAATAAACCACAGCAAGTATTTGTGTAGGGACTTATTCAGTGCCTGTTGCTCAACACTCAGGAAATGGAGACAGGAGGTCACAAGAGTCACAGCCCAGACTTCAGATGTATGAAGCCTCCTTTCAAAGAGCCACAAAAGGATGGTAGGGATGGGTGGGTCAGAGATTTCTGAATACAGTCTCTTTCTGTAAAAGGCAGGTAAATTTGCAAGCAAAAACATGTATTTTTTTTTTTTTTTTTTTTTTTTTGGTTTTTCGAGACAGGGTTTCTCTGTGGCTTTGGAGCCTGTCCTGGAACTAGCTCTGTAGACCAGGCTGGTCTCGAACTCACAGAGATCCACCTGCCTCTGCCTCCCGAGTGCTGGGATTAAAGGCGTGCGCCACCACCGCCCGGCTAAGACATGTATTTTTAAAGTGAAATGAAGCCCTTTTTATGAGCTGCTTTATGGCCCATTGAATCAGGGTAATTAAAGCTACCTCAGGAGGGTTGTGTGAAGCCCAAAGGAGATAGATAACAAACTCCTTGACACAGAAAGAGTAGTTCTGTTGTGAGGTGGGGCACACCACTTGAGGACCCTTTGAGACTGGTTAGATCTTCTTTTCTTTGTTGCCTCTTTTGTTTTTCTAGACAGGGTTTCTCTGTGTAGCCCTGACTGTCCTGGAACTCACTCTGTAGACCAGGCTAGCCTTAAACTCATAGAGATCCACCTGCCTCTGCATGATTAAACGCATGTGCCACCATGCCTGGCATTTGTTGCCTTTTTTATTAGGATTGAACAAACATTAATACAGTAGTCATGGTACACAAATTGTGCAGCCCAATGAGTGTTTACATGCGTACATACGGCCTGGGTAAACCCTTCTCCCAGCACAGGAAGTGATCCCTACCAGCACCATCTGTGCTCCTTGTGTCCTTAGACCAATACCTGACTCCTGCAGAGGTCACACTGTCCTGGCAGCTTTCCTGTAGACCTTGGTGTAGTTGAATCACGAGGCATGTGCTGTCGGGTTTCCTGTTTGTGTCTCTGCACGGTGTCCAAGTTCCTACATGCCTGTCTGCTTTTGTGTTATTCTGTCGTGTTCCACTCCAGATAGCAGTGCGTGTTCGCTTGCCTGCTATTGGTGGACACTAGGTCATACCAGGGAGGGCTGTTGAAATTAGTGCTACATTCTTACCTGTTTTGTGTTAGGAGGAGTCCTGCGGTTTGCCTGGCTAAGATGTGAGAAGTACACACACAGCTTTCCAATGTGAATGGAAGAGTTTATACGCCTACAACAATGTATAGAAGGCCTCTTTTCTAATTCCTGTATTTGTTCATGTATATATTTCAAAATATTTATCTTAGTATCAGGTTATTGTGTTTATTAGAAATGATAAATGTTGGGGCTGAGACAATGGCTCAGTTGGGAAAATTCAGATCCCCTGAAACCATATCAAAGCCAGCTGCAGTATTGTGCAAACCACATCAAAGCAGTTGCGCAATTGTGTAATCTCAGCATGCTCTTAGGGAGATGTAGTAGGAGGGCCGCTTGTTTGTTTCCTGCTGCTCAGCCCTGAAATAATCACACAGAAACTGTATTAATTAAATCACTTCTTGGCCCATTAGCTCTAGCTTCTTATTGGCTAATTCTTAACATCTTAATTTAACCCATTTCTATTAATCTGTGTATCGCCACATGACTGTGGCTTACAGGGTAAAGTTCCAGCATCTGTCTCTGGTGGGGCTACATGGCTTCTCTCTGAGTCCGCCTTCTTTCTCCCAGCATTCAGTAAAGTATTCCCCACCTAACTCTGTTCTACCAGTTTCTTTATTCATTAACCAATAAAAGCAACACATGTACAGAAGGACCTCCTACACAGGGAGATAAAAGGAGACATGATAATCATTAGATCAACTCGCCCATCTAACACAGTAGCTAAGAGACCCTGTCTCAAAGAGGGTGGAAAGACTAAGAGCAACCTCAGGGTTGTCCTCCTCTGACCTACACACACACTGATCCCTCACACATTTGGTCACAGTGTTAATGCTTTTCTTGCCATACGTTCAGATTTTTGTTTGTAGCAATAATCTACAAGGAAGATGCTGCTGCTGCTCTACACTGTAGTGAGGCACCAGAAGCCATGCTTCATCCAGTGGCTAAGCAAGTGCTAGTTCCTGTCTCCTGTAAGATAACGGAGTTTGGGAGTTGTTTGGGGGGTCATTTTGCTTGTTTGATTTTCCCCTTAGTGGTAATCAATCACAGTCAAAGAGAAAGGCCAGATGTGGTGGTGCACATCTTCAATCTCAGCACTCAAGAGGTAGAGGCAGGTGGATCTCTGAATTTGTGAACACCCTGGTCTACAGAGCGTCCTCAAGGTTAACCAGGGTTAGATAGAGAATTCTTGTCTCAAAAAAAGGTGGGGTAGAACTCAGATCCTTGAGAAATGTTGCCCTGTTGAAGCCCCATGGAGAGGCCTCTGTTTTTCACTAGATGAGTTGGATAATTGTTTTGGAGTGTCTTGTATAAATTCTTATGAAGCTTTATTTGCTTCTGAGTGTTTATGAAATTTAAAAATAACGTCACGGAAGTTGAACCTGTTAAAATCACTTCAGTTCCAGTAGCACAACTTAACTGAGATAGGACATAGGTGAACACGGTGCTCACAGATGCAGATCCCACAGGACCCCGAAGCTGAGGACCATCATGGTCTTTGTAGGTTTATCTAGTTGGAATGCATCAGAATGGTGGTTCTCAACCTCTGGGTCACTACCGCCTTGGGGAGTCAAATGACCCTTTTTCATAGTAGTTACACATCAGATATCCTGAATATTTGATATTTATATTACAATTCATAACAGTAGCAAAATTACAATTATGAAGTAGCAGCAAAGTAATTTTATGGTTGGCGGTCACCACAACATTAAAGGGTCACACACAGCGTTTAGAAAGGTTGACAACCACTGCATTAAAAGTTAGGGCTTTTTGCCCTAGTATACCTTTCTGAGTATTTGTTGGTCATTGTTTTTGAAACTGAATTTTTTTCTATAGAGTTAAGGAAATGAGTCTACCCTTCTTTTTTCATTTTTCTTTTCCTTCTCTCTAGAGTCACTCAGGGGAAAGGATTAATGCCAGATGGCACTAGCAGATTTACCTGCAAAGGAAAGTCTATTTTTCATTTCATGGGAACCAGCACATTTTCTGAATACACAGTTGTGGCTGACATCTCTGTTGCTAAAATTGACCCTTCAGCACCTTTGGATAAAGTCTGCCTTCTCGGGTGTGGCATTTCAACCGGCTACGGTGCTGCTGTGAACACTGCCAAGGTAAGAGACTGGACTGGGCTTCGGCCTTAATTCAGAGAGACATTGCTGAAACAGCGGCTGTCCTGTGAGACCGTGACTCTTGGCATGCTGCTTACAGACTGTCTTTTGATGTAGGTGGAGCCTGGTTCTACCTGTGCCGTCTTTGGCCTGGGAGGAGTTGGATTGGCAGTGATCATGGGCTGTAAAGTGGCTGGCGCATCCCGGATCATTGGTATCGACATCAATAAAGATAAATTCGCAAAGGCCAAAGAATTTGGAGCCTCTGAATGTATTAACCCCCAGGATTTCAGTAAACCCATCCAGGAAGTACTCATTGAGATGACAGACGGGGGAGCAGACTACTCTTTTGAGTGCATCGGCAACGTGAAGGTCATGGTAAGTATGCATGCCTCCTCCTTTTGTGCTTACAATACTTTTTAAAAATGCAATTTCCTGAAGATCAAAGATTGTTTTGTTTTGGAAGGAACAGCTTTGATAGGAATTAATTCTAAAGAAAGCAAAGGATGGTAATAGCTTCTTGAACTACTTGGAACTATTTGAGTGGGAAATGATAGAAGTTCGGAAAGGGGAAAGATGAACAAAAAAATAATATTTCTTTGCCTTTTGAGTGTATGTTAACTGCTTATCTCATGAAATGAGAGGCTAAGTAGTATGGAGAGCATGAGCTTTGGAATTGGATATGCACACACATCCTGACATGGTGACCTGAGCAGAGAATGCAGATTCACAGACACAGGTGACCTGAGCAGAGGATGCAGATTCTCAGACACAGGTGACCTGAGCAGAGGATGCAGATTCTCAGACACGGGTAACTGAGCAGAGGATACAGATTCTCAGACACCGGTGACCTGAGCAGAGGATGCAGATTCTCACAGACATAGGTGACCTGAGCAGAGGATGCAGGTTCTCAGACACAGGTGACCTGAGCAGAGGATGCAGATTCTCAGACACAGGTGACCTGAGCAGAGGATGCAGATTCTCAGACACAGGTGACCTGAGCAGAGGATGCAGATTCTCAGACACGGGTAACTGAGCAGAGAATGCAGATTCTCACAGACACAGGTGACCTGAGCAGAGGATGCAGATTCTCACAGACACAGGTGACCTGAGCAGAGGATGCAGATTCTCAGACACGGGTAACTGAGCAGAGGATGCAGATTCTCACAGACACGGGTAACATTAAATAGTAAATTTCTTACAGTTACTTTTGACACCTTCTTGCACTATTTTTTTTTAGATTTATGTGTATGAATGTTTTGCCTGTGAGTATGTATGCATACGACATGTATGCTTGGTGATCACAAAGTCAGAAGAGAGCATTGGATCCTCAAGAAGTGGAGTAGTGGATGGTTGTGGGTGCTGGGATCTGAAACCTGGTCCTCTGTAAGAGCAGAACGTGCTCTTAACCACTGAGCTATCTCTCCAGCCCTAAAATCTTTTTGAGTTCTGATTTACTTTTATTTTTAAACTGATACCTAAAAGCATAAAGCTTGCACGTGATCAATCCTTTATGTACTGTTTACGTCTGCCTAAATGGGGGAAACTATCAAAACTGTCTAGCTGTGTTGAGTATGAATAGCAGCTGGCAGACACTCGGGCTGTGCTGCAGCAAACATGGGGCTGCACCATTCCTGTTTGTGCCAGAGGCCCCCGGTTCTCCCTGATCTGTCTCATCATTCTCTCCCATCCTCTCAGGAAGTTGAGTTTATGAGGAGGAAGTCACTCTTAGGAAGCGGAGCTTTAACTTGATGAGGTCTTTGCATGTGTCTTGGCATGGCTCCATTAGTTAACCGTCTGTGTCTCCTCGGTGCCTGTCTGACTTGGACGGACGCATGACTGTGGTTTGGTGGTGAAGAGTGAGTATTGGCTTTTGGAAGCTGTATTGGTGGCGCACATTCTAGGTCTTCTCATCAAGTCAAAACGAAAAATAACATGGTCCTTCCAATCTAAAAGCTCCCGTGGCTCCAATCTAGTCCTTGGTCTACTTCACCAGTGTTATCTTCTAGTCATATTTCATATTCGAGATGAACTTCTAGAATCTCTCCGGGAGCCTTCTTTCTTCCCTTGCAACACTAGTGTGTCTCTTGTGACCCTGGCACTTCATGTACACAGACTGAGTTTGCTGAGCCTGTCCCTGTCCTAGCTATGAATCCTGATTTGCATCCCAGGGCCTGGGCACTTGAGGCCACACTCCGAGCAGCTCCTTTCTTACCTCCTTGGACTTCACATTGTCACAGATGCTTGCAGAGCCGTGTTTTTTTGGACCTTCTCCAAAATTACTGAGAGCTGATGGCACATTTCCATCTCTCCTTCCTGTCTTTCCCCTCCTCCAGAAACCATCATCCCTGTTAGAGCCACAGTCCCCACCTGCACCATCCTTAGTTACCTGTTTGTTGTAGGAGCACCAGCCCTTTGTTCGTCCGGGCTGCCCAGCTGGCTTACACCGAAATAACCACACAGAAATTGTATTAATTAAATCACTGCCTGCCCCATTATCTCTAGCCTCTTATTGGCTAACTCTCACATCTTGATTTAACCCATTTCTAATAATCTGTGTCACCACAAGGTCATGACTTGCCGACAAAGATTCAGCATGTCAGACCTGGCCTCCATGGCGACTCTCTCTTGACTCTGCTTTCTTCCTCCCAGAATTCCGTTCTGTCTTCTCCGCCTACCTAAGTTCTGCCCTATCAGGCCAAGCAGTTTCTTTGTTGATTAACCAATGAAAGCAATACATAAACAGAAGGACCTCCTACACCATTTCCCCTTTTCTGTTTAAAAAAGGAAAGGAAAGCTTTGACACAGTAAAATTACATATAACAAAACAGTTATCGCCAGGCGGTGGTGGCGCACGCCTTTAATCCCAGGACTCGGGAGGCAGAGGCAGGCGGATCTCTGTGAGTTCGAGACCAGCCTGGTATACAAGAGCTAGTTCCAGGACAGGCTCAAAAAAACCACAGAGAAACCCTGTCTCGAAAAACCAAAAAAAAAAAAAACAAAACAGTTATCAAGCAAGAATTACAGTTACAATGTTCATATCTATTTTATCTTTTATCATAACAAAGGAAAACTATAACTATTCTTCAGTCCATCAAAGACTCCAGACAGATATAATATTACCTAAGTAAACAGGAAGTGCATTATAAACAACTTCCAAAACTCTAGAATTGACAGAGACATCTTGCTGCCTGGACATTTACCTAAAGTTCTTCTGTACCACTGGGGCATCCATCTTCAGCCTACGGGCCCATAATATCCAGCAGACTTTCTCATGAAACTGGAAATTTTAAAGACAGTTCAGTCACATTCTTCTGTGTCCTGCAGAATGTCTCACAGACTCATGAAGCAGGAACCCCAAAGGATCATCTCACCTTTAGGCATGTTTAGCAGTCATCTCTCTGGCTACTGCATGTCCAGTGAAGCAATCCAGGCAAGAGCAGTTTCTTGTCCAAATAGCTAGCAAACTCCATAAGGAGCCTCTTCAATGCCCATCTTCTTCTTGAAGTAGATTGGTGCTGCCAGGAACAGACGTGTCTCATTGTCATGAAAAGTCCTAAGTTATTAAAACATCTGAAATGCCATATTCGGTAGTCTTTGAAAGATATGAAGAATGCCTGTCTGAAATATATCTATGCACATCTAAAAAATCTAACATGACTACAAACTTGACTATTATAGATAATTATCTATTAACCTATATTTCTTAATTATACATTACATTTTTAAATGAACTATATAATCACAATACCTTAATCAAGCAGAAATATACATTAACAAGATTGACCTTAAATTTATATCAATAAACCAAGATTTATATCTGTGCAAATTATTCATCTCTATATCATATCCCCCTTTAAATGTAAAGAACATTTATAAGCAATATTTGGGAATATGGACGAAGTTATTTCTTTCCAAACTTCTTCCTGCTGTACAGGGGCGCTGTTAATCAGGTCCTTCATGGTGTAACCTGTGTACCAAGTTCATCACAGTCAGCAGCTGAGTGAAGTAGTTTTCTGAGGGTGTTTGCGGCAACCTTTCAGGAGGGCATGGTCTATCATACCATATTGGTCTAGAAGCAGTCCACAGGGTCTCATCCTCTGTGAAAACAAAAGAAGAACCTCTTTTCCAAAGCATCATATCCTTAAACCCAAATTCTGAAGCCAAGATAACTTTATAATATACATGCTGGATTAGCTTAGCAGCACATATAATGAAAACTCTCTCTCTGTACTTAGCTCCTTCACAGTCAAAAAATTTAAAAAAAACACAATAGTATACAGAATCCAGACTTTCTGTGAATTTTTCATTTTTATGTGGTTTATTTTTATGATTATCTTTACTGTCTCTTTAAAGACTTTACCCCTTTTGTGAAAACACTGACTTTATGACTGTATACTCTTTATCTTTTTTCTTCCTAATCTACGTACATTTATTTAACACTGTGACCCATTTAGAGGTCTTTTATATCTGAATCTGTTCCATTGCATTGTCTTTAATTCTCTACTGTCTTGAAGAGCTTTTAAAATGCTAAGCAGCTTGGTTACAGCTGCTCTGGATGTTGGCTCCACCTCTCCAATTTCAAAATGGTGGATGTACCATTTTTGCTAGCTCTGGGGTCGCCAGGTAGGAGCCACACTCAGCACTTTAACTCTGATAATGAGCATGCAGCACATAAACTCTTTTTTTATCTGAGTTACAGCCAAATCTGCCACGCAGAGCACTGAGCAGCCAGGAAACATCTCTGTGAATGGCAGCAGGAATCCACCATGCTCTCCCACCAGCCCAAGCCTGATCTTGCCATCTGCCCAGGGAGGAAGAGCTGAGCCACGGGCATGATCTCAGATACTTTCCTCCCGACCACCTGGGCCCACAAATGCTCCATAGAAATGCTTAATAGCTGGCGTTTGTACTGGCAGCATAGCCCAGGAAGCCGCGTTTTAAAACCCTGCGGCTTGGGGGGGGGGGGGGGGGGTATGGCTGCTGAGTCGAGAAATTCTCTCTTAAAGGAGCTATGGCACACCACCAGCAGTGCTAAACTTTATATTTCTGTCTAGAATTCTTTTTAATGCCCTCTCAGGTTTTACATGGAGTCAGTTTACCACGTTGGGCACCAATCTATTGTAAGAGCACAGGCCCTTTGTTCGTCCTGGCCGCCTGGCTAGCTTACCTGTTCTTCTCCTTCTACTGGAATCCAAATTCTAGAAGCTTGAGAAATCTGTTTAAGCCTTTCTCCCTCATTTGGGTTCTCTACTGGCCCTTTTTAGTTCTTCCTAGGTGGCACTGGGTTTGATCAACCACCCCCCACACACACACACCCCCACCCCCCCCACCCGCTACCCCAAGAAAAAACAATCACAGTAAGTGGTTACCTTGTTTTCTGCAGCTAATGAGCAAGCTGAGGCCAGAGGGGTGTACAGCTCAGACAGCTCCTCCTCCTCCTGTCCTTTGTAACCTTTCTGACTACTGTCATTCTTACTGGAGTGAGGTGTTGTGTTGTGGTTTTGAGTCTCAGTAGTGACCAGTGATGCTGAACATCTTTTCTCGTATCTGCCATCTTTGTCTGCTTTGGAGAAATGTCTTTTCTTATCCCTTGAGACCAGGTTGTTTGGCTTTTTGTTGTTGAGTTTTTAGGGGTTTCTTGTAATTTTACAAATGATCTGTGATCTGCATCTACACTCTGTTGTTCTCTGCTGTGCAGAAGTCTCTTTTATTTGCTCCGCTCAATCTGTTTATCTTTGCTTTCACTTCCTATGTTGTTGATCTTACCCAAAAAAATGTTCCCTGTCCCAATGTCTAAGTATTTCCCTTATGTTTTCCTGTAGTAGTTTGAAAGTCTCAGGTCTTTTTATAGTTGGGTTTTATAACTCATGCGAGAGAAGCAGTCTAGATTCATTTTTTTTTTTAGGATAGAAATTTTAAAAAGAAAGTAGCTATCAATTTATTCAATTTTCTTATAGTTAGGTTAATTTTTAAAGGTACTTGTTAAAATATAACTGCTCAGTAAAATTAAAATTACTAAACATTGAGTTTGAGAACTTGTTGCCATTTTGTAAAATGTGTCACCCGTTCCCCCACTAGGTTTCTGGGGAAAAGGGCAGTGTTGGTGCAGCTTATGGACACCTGTGATTGTGTCTTTGTTCTTGCAGAGAGCAGCCCTCGAGGGGGTGCACAAAGGCTGGGGAGTCAGTGTGGTGGTTGGCGTAGCTGCTTCAGGTGAAGAAATCGCCACTCGCCCATTCCAGCTGGTGACAGGACGCACGTGGAAAGGCACTGCCTTTGGAGGTAACGCAGTGGACAAGTAGATTTTCTCTCCTGTTTCCATTGGCATAATTTAAATCTCAGTCTCATTTCGTGTGTTAACACAAATCATCTGGTTGTAGTTCTTTCTTGATTGTTTCATGGGAGGCCTGAAGAGACTTTCAGAGTCAGTATTGGCCGCTGGTGCTGGGGAGGCATTCGGCTTCTTCTTAAGTAAGGAGAGCCAGACAATACAGGACTTCAAAGACCAAGAGCCAGGTGTAGGGGTACAGCCTTTAATTCCAACACCCAGGAGGCAGGGGCAGGTGGAAGGCCAGCATGGTGTACACAGTGAGTTGCAAGACAGCCAGAGATACACAGTGAGACCCAGTCTTTTTTTTTTAATTCTTTTTTTTTTTTATTGAGAAAAGGAAAAAAAAGTATCCGCCTCCTCCCAGCCTCCCATTTCCCTCCCCCTCCTCCCACCCTTCTCCCCCTCCCCCAAACTCCTCTCCTCCTCCCTCTCCAGTCCATAGAGCAGTCAGGGTTCCCTGCCCTGTGGAAAGTCCAAGGTCCGCCCCCCTCCGTCCATGTCTAGGAAGGTGAACATCCAAACTGGCTAGGCTCCCACAAAGCCAGAACATGAAGTAGGGTCAAAACCCCATGCCATTGTCCTTGGCTTCTCATCAGCCCTCATTGTTCGCCATGTTCAGAGAGTCCGGTTTTATCCCATGCTTTTTCAGTCACAGTATGTATAACCCCAGCAGCACAGACATTAAGGGCAACATTGAATAAATGGGACCTACTAAAACTGAGAAGCTTCTGTAAAGCAAAGGACACTGTCATTAAGACAAAAAGGCAACCTACTGACTGGGAGAAGATCTTCACCAACCCCGCAACAGACAAAGGTCTGATCTCCAAAATATATAGAGAACTCAAGAAACTAGACTTTAAAATGCTAATTAACCCAATTAAAAAATGGGGCACTGCTGGGCGATGGTGGCGCACGCCTTTAATCCCAGCACTCGGGAGGCAGAGGCAGGCGGATCTCTGTGAGTTCGAGACCAGCCTGGTCTACAGAGCTAGTTCCAGGACGAGCTCCAAAGCCACAGAGAAACCCTGTCTCAAAAAACCAAAAAAAAAAAAAAAAAAAAAAAAATGGGGCACTGAACTGAACAGAGAATTCTCAACAGAAGAAGTTCAAATGGCCAAAAGACACTTAAGGTCATGGTCAACCTCCTTAGCAATCAGAGAAATGCAAATCAAAACAACTTTGAGATATCATCTTACACCTGTCAGAATGGCTAAAGTCAAAAACACCAAGGATAGCCTTTGCTGGAGAGGCTGTGGAGGAAGGGGTACCCTCATCCATTGCTGGTGGGAATGCAATCTTGTGCAACCACTTTGGAAATCGGTGTTTCGGTTTCTCAGGAAATTCGGGATCAACCTACCCCTGGACCCAGCAATACCACTCTTGGGAATATACCCAAGAGATGCCCTATCATATGACAAAAGCATTTGTTCAACTATGTTCATAGCAGTATTATTTGTAATAGCGAGACCCAGTCTTTAAAAAAAAAAAAGAAGAAGAAGAAGAACAACAAGAAAGAAACGAGAGAGAGAACAAGAATTAATGAGAAAGAGGTTGAAGGCAGGCTGGGTAAACTGCCCAGGGTTTCTTGTGTGAATTTAGGTGTCATTTTAATACTTAGAGAATGCAACCTCACTTAATATAGTCAGACTTCTTTCTGAATAATGCTAGTTTTAGTAGTACCCAATACATGATCCTAAACTAAAGTAATGACAAAAGTTTTTAGCAAAATTAAAAGCTATCAAGCTGATGATCATTTTCCCCTGGTGTCGTCATAGGAGGGATTTAGTCATTTGGCATTATCTAACTATGGGTAGAAGGTTGGATAAAGTCTTTTTGTGGTGCTCAGCTGGGGAGAAATATCAAAACATGTCTCACAGCCCAACTATTGTGAATGAATGATTTCCATACTTCTTACAGGCTTTCAAAAAAACTCAATGGACAATCCTATCCTACCATCCTTATTAGGGGGAAAATATCCCAGGCATTTTGAATGCTGTTTAAGAGAATGTGTGTTGAGATCCCATACCATGTATTATATCAACTTTTTTGAAACCCAGAATAAAAGCCTTGGAAACTGCTAAAATGAGGGCATGACCAAAATTTTCTTCTTTATGATTATATGTTTACCTTAGAAGGTGTCAGTTTGACTAACTGATTCTAGTATCTGGAAGTCTTTATTTAAGTGGCATGTGCTCCTGGGGGCACCATATTCCAGGAGCTGATTTGAAAGGGCCTTTGAAGCCAGAGTAGCTAGGCAAGTACTCTCCAGCAGAATTATAAACTATTTGTTTTTGAGGCGGGATGACCTTCCTGCCTCGGCCTCCACTGTGGCTGGCTTTTCAGGCCTGTGTCATCCAGCCCAGTGTTTAGTAGCCCTAAAATAGGAAAAGAACAATTAACTCTAAGTGTTTACTTTTTCACAGCTAAGGATGTGTCTGACTCTTCCTCTGTTCCACAGCAGTTCTAAAAAGGTTTCCTTCATCTTGAATCCACATAACCTCTGAACTGTCTGGGCGTCACCCAGGAGAGGAACGTGATTAAATATATTGCAGAAACTTATCCTTAAGAATGTGGTTTCTTTTAGGATGGAAGAGTGTGGAGAGTGTCCCAAAGCTGGTGTCTGAATATATGTCAAAAAAGATAAAAGTTGACGAATTTGTAACTGACACTCTAACCTTCGACCAAATCAACCAAGGCTTCGACCTGATGCACTCGGGGAAAAGGTGAGCTTTCAGTTCAGCTGACAGTGGAAGTGGGAGGGACAAGCAGAACTCGTGGCTCAGAGGGAGCAGGTGCCTGCTGTCAAGCCCAGTGACTGAGTTCAGTCCCCATGACCCACATGATAGAAGAGAACTGATCTCCACACACATGCCAGGGTGCACACATATACATACACATAGAATAAATAAATTAATGTGATTATAAATAAATGTGATTTCTTTTTTAGTTCATCTTTCAAATTTTATTATTCTTGCTCTGTCTCACAGCATTCGAACCGTTCTAAAGATGTAAGTTCAGAAGAGAACACTGTCCTTCCTGTACTTTTTCCTGTGATCAGAAGAGAACAGACTGATAGATCTGCTTCAGAAACTACTAGGAGTGCATGTAATCATGTCTATAATCAAGGACAAGGCAAATAATCAATCACAAGTCAGTTTTCTGAACTCTCCACGTAAATAATTGCTGCTCAAGAAATATTTTAACATAATAAAAATACTTTCTGCATTTGTGAGTAAATTGAACATTTTGTCGTCTCTCTTTAGGCTGCCTGGTATGCAGTCTAGAAACAATGCTAACCCAAAAGAAAGGCTAATTTTTAATTCATCCACATAGGTTTAGTTAATAAGCCAAGATTAGAATATCCTTTGTCTGGAAATACCGATTAGAAACATACACTACCAAGCAGTCAGTAAACTTGTTTAGGCAGCTGGTTCGGTGATACATCCTTGAACTGTGTTGACAACAACCAAGTGGCCAGGTGAAGTCAGCTGCTTTTGGTAGAATTATGAGAACAGAACGGTGCAGTGTGCTCTGTCAGCTGGACACTGACAGCTGCACATGTGGTAAATACCGCAAGTCAAGGACATGACCCACAGGATCACCTCCTGCCTAAATGTCTACTCAGCTACTCCCATAGCCCAAAATGAGGCCATGCCGTGATGGCTGCAGAATGCTCAGAAGCAAGAACTGTCATCTCACTTAGGGCTCAAATACTCATTTGAGTTGAAACACGTAGAGTCCACCTAGCTACCGATAATGCAAATCGCTTCAGTCACATTGTCCTGTAAGCTGTTACTAAGCTGTGATGTCAGTGCAAGCGGGTGTAATCTCTCCCCTAGCCACACAATTCAAATCAGATCCCTGGTATCCTGGTCGTGTGCTTCTCTCAAAACATGATAGTACAAATGTGCTTACCAGTTTAGTACAAAGACGATGCAGACAAGTATCTGTGGCTTGTTCTGGAGGTTGGGTGTGGAATGTGGAACAAGAATAACAGGGCTGAGAGCCTCAAGAAAACACCCAACTTAAAGCTTTACCCATCTTTTAAAAGCTGTACATAGGGATTTCTCAAAAGTTTCTTTCAGTAGATGGCAATTCACAGATGCTCAACTGGTCAACATGCAGAGAATAACTGGATTGCTAACCCTAAATGAGATGTATATACTTCATACCCCTCCAAGGCTCAGAGACTTTGTGGAAGATGGGGTAGAAAGATTGTAAGAGCCAAAAGTGGTGGATGGTTTCAGGCCAACTTTTCCAGACACAACCTAGAAGCTGCACATATGAACTCACAGAAATTTGTGACACCATACACAACTCATCACATGATCAAGCCAGGAGTCCCAGCTTGAAGACACGCAAGTGAGCACAAAATTCCATCCCTAGCCAAGGAGTGGCATGACCCCTGCGCTCACATTCTAGGCCAGGCCTCCACTCTTGGCAGTAGAGCAACACAAATTGAACTCAATGAGTTTAAAGTGGAAGAAAACACAAAGTTGGGGGAAGTAGGAAAATGAAGGTGGATCTGGGTGGGAGGAGAGTGGTATACCAAAACACACTGTATCAAATTCTCAATTCCAAAAAAAGTTATTTAAATAAGACTCTAGCCTGGCGGTTGTGGCATGCACTCTTATCCCATCAGAGGACAGCAGATCTCTTTAGTCAAAACAAGTTCTAAGACTGCCAAGGCTACACAGAAAGCCCGTCTCCAACCTGCCCCTGCAAAAAATAAACAAAAAAACTATGAGCCAATAGTGATATTGCTAAGGGCAGAGCAGTGGACTGTCAGCTAATAAATGCTGAGGGTTGATACATGTGAGAAGTGCTTCTCTGTAAAATGTTCATGTAAATAGATTTGAGAAATCCAAACTGCAGATCAAATGCAAGCAAATAGTGGATTCGGGCAAGGATATCAATGAATGCTAAAGTCATTGTGTGAACATGATATCCATAGTCTCCAAGTAGCTTCCAATCTACTTGTTTAAAAAAATCAGAATAAAATAAGAATGGGGAACAGACACGGAGTGATCGAGCACTGGAATACTGACAATTCATATGGGCCGTAATGAACACAGCGTGACATCCACGAAGTCTTCTGTCACAGTATTTCTCCTGAGCATATCCTCATGAGAACTAAGACTTTTATATGCAACTGTCACAATTTTTCAAGTGTTAATTTCCTACAACACTCTAAAGAGCAGGGAAGTTATTCCAGAACAAATTACTGGCCCATGACAGGGTGGGGTGCTCAGAAGAAACTTGGGGGAAACTGAGTCTGTATACACATTTATTATGCACCAATGTTAAAAATTGCTGGTCTAACAATTACATTACAGTCACGTAGACTCCTTTGCTGGGGTGCAGGTACTTACTGGGAATTAAACTGCCAAGCCTCGTGTGCTAGTCCAACACTCTATCAACCAGTAATATTCTTGGAACAAGCATCCTTAGAGAAATACAGGCTGAAGTATAATACCCTTTTCTTTTGTACAAAGTCCTGGGTTCAATCCCAGGACCAGCTCAGGGTAAGGAAGCAAAGGTGGTAACATTTGTACAGTTGGGTATAGGTAACTACTACTTCACTATACTTCCAACTTTCCTATAAAATTTTCAAAGCATTCTGTAAGGTGTGCTATGTGTAAGTACACACCTTCACTGAGACTAAAGAAAAAGGAGTCCCTCTCCACCACTCTGCCCTGTTCCTTCAAGGCAGCATCTCATTGAGCCTGGAGCCCCTGGTTTCTAGCTATGCTGGCAGTGGGCAAACCCCAGCAATCTCCCTTACTACTGGGATCACAAACTGGTACCCATGATTGTGCATCAAGCAAACACTCTAACTACTAAGCCATCTTTCTAGTCCAAGAATTAAAATTTAAGAGATCATTTACATATCATGGGTGTGTATCTACCTTTGCAGAACATTCTGTTGTCAATTTCAACCAAACCAGAAGTGATTTAGAAATCAGTAATTACGCAACAATAGCAAATCCTCAGCCTTTTTGTCTGTAATTTAAAACACATGGGAGACAAGTATTATACACACTGCTGAAGGGTTTCTAAACTATTTATCCACAAAAAATTGGAATGTGATCATTTATCTTAATTGTCAACATAACTGGATTTGGAGTCACCTAGGAGGCACACTTATGGGAGGGTCTGGAGCGTTTCCACCATGCTGAATGTAAATGGCAACATCATGTGGGCTAATGTCCTGAATACAAAGAGGAAACGGAGAAAGCCAGTCAAGCACCAGCAAAATCTCATCTACTTCCTGAGGACACAAGGTTGATGTTCTACTGTGACGCCATTCTTCCAGGATGTACCATGTCCTTTTAAACGATAAGCCCAAATAAATCCTCCCTTAGGTTGCTTCTGTTGGGAATTGTCAGCGACAAAAAAAGGCACCGATACCAAGGGGAAACATGTTTTCTTCTTTTAAATTGTAGCTACAAGAAATGCAAGACGGACAGGAGGATAAAGAACGGTCATCATACAAGTTAAACTGTGTATGTTGCTGTAGAGGAGAGTGCATGCCTACTATACACAAGGCCACCAGTCCAATCCCAGTGCAGACCAAAAAGGCTAATACATTAACAGTGGGTGTACAAAGTAGATGTTTTGTAAACTAAACCTACTAACTGGAGATATTATAATTAGACTAGAGCCCACATTGTTTTTCTTAAAAAAAAAAAATCAAACCAAGGAAAACACTCCTACAAGCATGTCTAATCTTTCCACAAACTACACCAAGGTTTCGTTCCTGAAGCTTTATTTTCTAATGATATAAACTTAACACCACCCCACTTACTAATCCTACTGTCAGAATACAAACTGCTCCCCTAAATATACCATATTCTTAACCTTAAAAGCTCTCATAATACAACTACATCTAGATGTGCTGCCTCGCTCCTGCAATAAACAACATGCAATTATAGTACAATATTATACCTGAAAAGGTGTATATGCTCCAATGGTCATGAGTTTAGTTTGGATGAAATTGGTCTCATCCCATCAATTCCCTCTGAAACAAATGCAACTACAGTAAGTGGGATAATCATTCAAACTTTTAATCTCCCTTTACATATTATATTAACATTCATATTACAAAGCATTCCATTCACAAATATTACAGTTTGATTAAAAACTTTAAACACACACACCCAGAAGTCTACACCAGATTCAATCACTTTACTAAATCATTAAAGTCATGAAAACATTATCATTCTCTTAAAGCAATCAGGTCTGAGGCACTCTGGAAAAGATGATGTCTTAAAGTATGTGTGTCACTGGTATCAAATTATATTACAATAAAGTCATGAGATAGCCAGGAATCAAGGATACTCTCATGACAGCTTTATGATCTGGTATGTCTCCATCTAGAGTGAGGTACATTGCGACACAGGACAGCAGCATGCATGCCCATGGGCACTTAGAGTCCTTTCTCACTGCTGCCAGTTACTAAATGCTAAACTCTCAGTCACCGCGACTCTGCAGACACCTGGAGACATTGGAATTCTTCCCCCATCATCTGCCTGCCACAGGACAACTGTCACTCTTCTGAGTACTTCGGAGGGAAACCTCAGCAAAAAGAGTTCTGAAGAAAAGGGATTTCTGACCTCTCACTGGCCAGACGGGTCTGAGACAGCAGTGTACTGTGAAATGACGCTGCAGCGCAGCTACTTCCCCACGCCAGACCTTACACTCTGACAACCTCCCAAGTGAACCTTCCCATTCACTCACTGAGTCCACACTGCAGGAAGTCTTTCCTACACACATACAACAGTAAATAATGAGCATGAGGGTGAGCGGAGTCCAATTCCCAACCAGGAATTAACCACTAACAAATTATGGATCCACTTATGACAGCAGATATCCTGTCAAAGCAGAATCAACCCAGACCAAAGGTCAGTGTTCAATAATTTCGTATATGGAATTTAAAATGTATGCATATATATTTCCATATATACCAATATATAATTAAAAATCTGGAGCAATGTGTTGCTAGTTTCATGATTTCTCATCTCCAACACTCTCCTGGAAAGCAGCTTGTCTGTGGCAGTGATAAAGCAATGGGAAGCAGATCAGGGTCAAAGACAGAGTACAGAGAACTGAGGGGTGAGGCTAGGGACCGAAGGAAGTAAGCAATGTTTCCTTTATTCTTCTCAGCTCTTTCAGACCCCAAAAAAGCTCTGAGGACACACACCAAATGCTGTAGTCCCTCCTCA